TTTGCGGCGAGTCTTTCAAGAAGAGCGCGCCCATGCCTGCAGCCTCTCCTCCCTTCACCACCGGCGCGAAACGGCGAGCGGCGCAGCCCTGCAGCCAGGCTTTGCTGCAACCATTACATGCAGGAGGCTCGGAGGCAGAGAGGTAAGGCAGAGCAGCTGTATAGGACAGCCACCCTGCCTGGACACCTCCACGGGTTAATTCACTTCTGTACAAGACAGAAGTTTGTAATCGAACCTCCAGATGCAGGAGACCAGGGGTCGTCGGGCAGGAAGGGAGCTGAGGTGCAGCCATTCGGCCAGAACAACTCCAGGCTGGACCCAACAGGGCCACCAACCCATAGGATGGACACCCACGGGCTGCAAAACATGTTCTGAGCCACTCCACACCAGAAATAGGAAGCATCACTCCACTCCTGCCCCCTAGCCCCTGGGCGAGAAGATTTATGCGTAAGAAGCAATCCTCCATCTTCAGAAATTCATCTCAACCTAGCGTTGATCTCCCTGCCCTCATTATCTGCATACACAAACCACGAAGAGCCAGCTTCATCCCAAAATCCAGGGAATTGGCTGCTGGAAGAAGACAACAAATACCCATGGGTCAAGGCCAAGGGAGAGCAGAAAGTCTCAGTCACCAACACCCTGTGCCCCCCATGCACCTTTTAGAAGAAAAGATGCAAGTTAATTCAGCAGCAGAAAAACAAAGTTTTGTGGAAATGATCCATTAACCAAGCAGCAATACTATTCTTTAAGTGGTCTTGATTAACTTAAGGCTATTAAATTTTTAAACAAAGCTCACTCGTTCTATTAGTAATAACTCGAAGTGCTCGAGTATGCTAGGGGATTAATGGTTTTAAACGATGCCTGTAAGCACAGCTTCCAACGCCCAGCCCGGAACAGCACGTAGCAAAGAACTCGGCAAGTTTCTAAATGCCAGTAAAAAATATCAAGAGAATTTTCTCATCTGAAAGAAACAGATGACATCTTACAGGGCATGGAGCATGCCAGCACCTGATTCATCACTCCCACGGTGACCGCTTCACGGCGTCACTTTGCAACACGAGAGAGAAGGCACCAAATAACCCATAATCAGAGTTAGAGCCGCTTCTAGGCTGCTCCTGCATGTAGGTTAAGAATGGGATTGGGACACCAAAGATTTTCCTTAAGGACCAAGGTACGTTTAGTGATTAGGCAGCACCACACTTGTGTTTTGAACAACCTCACGCGCCCACTGCAGTGGAGAGACCATCAGCGCCTCTTGAATTACGTGCTCAAGAGGCTCAAATAGGTACCTGGCTTGGAACTGAAGCACCTTGAGACATACTGCAAGCCTCACGAATCCTAAGAAAGAGCTTGTAATCGTAAAGTCTCCCCCAGCCCCACTCCCAGAGGACAAGTGCTGAAGATGCCCACTGCCCAGCGGAGCTCCCCGCTGCTGAGGTGATGCGCCAAGCTTGCAGCCCTACCTTCGGGCGTGGATTCGAGCTGGTCAGCACTCCACAAATCTCTCTTATAGGAAGGGCAGGAGAGGGCCCAACACCTCCTGCTGGCCGCTGCTGGCCTTGTCCATGGCCCCACAGCACCCCCGGGCTCGCCATCAGGCAGCCCCTCACCGCTGGTGGGCATCGAGGGAGCGCGAGGAGCACGGCGCCAACCAGCGCGGCCCTGCTCTTCCTCACCTCATCTCAGTTAAGAAGGCTTTGGTAAGGCAGAAAGCCAAACGCCTCGGTTTTGGGACCACATCTACAGACCGAGCTGACAGGCCTGCAGCGGCGGTCTCTGCTCGCGGGGAAGGCCCGACTCCATTGCACACACCCCGCTGGTCTCTTTTTGGAAGAGGGAAGATGTTTTTTCTTTTCTAACACATGAAAAAGCAAGAGATAAGATAAGCCCTGCTAATTCTCAAGCCTCCTTTGGCGTTACTGTGTCCATTCCACCAGTTATAGTCAGCGTGTCTTTGGTTTAAGTCCAAATATTGTGGCTACAGACTATCACGCATATTTTGATGGGGTAAACAATGAAAGAACATATAAGCCTCTAATTTTACACTGCCTTCAATTCCCATTTCCATCAACAATGGCAAGAAAACAGGAACAGAAACTAAACTAGTAAAAAAGAAACCCATTCTTCTCCATTTCTGACTTCAAGAATCCAAGAATTGAAAAAAAAATCAAAGTGAACCCCTATCCAGCTTTATATTTGCTCAGATATACCTGCCTTTTTTTTTTTAAACAAAAACATCAAAACTTCTTCTCGATACACAGCACTAAGGTCAGCGTAGGACATGCATCTTGTAGAACAAGATGTTTTAATGATTCGCATCCAGTGATCACCCCTCAGCATGAAAAATAGCCAAGCACATAACGGCAAAATAATATTTTAATTGTCAGTTTTAATCTACGTTTCCTACTCAGATTTAAATCACCTTTTTTTAAATCACATCGATTTAACTCAATCAGCCCTGCCTGAAGGCCATCTTTCTTGCATGCTACAAGCATACCAAGCAAGTTTTCACCAATTAGATAAATCATTAAATCTCATAACTTCCTAGCAGCGATACATCAAGCCGTACGTGAGCAATAATTATTTTTAATAAGTGTTACATTGAAAACTTTGCAAAAAATAAGAAGCTAAGTAGACATTTCACCATTTATTTTTTTTTTCAAACCCAGAGCACATGATGGCCTGAAGCCCAGCCAGCTGAATCCTGCAGAAGACTTGCATGATCACTGCAAACATGCTCCTGACATTTTCTTCCCTTCCCTGTGACGATACTGGAATAACACTGACGCCTTCGCTTCCTCCAGTTCTGTGTATGCAGATGTACGTGTGCATACCCACCCTGCAACCTTGAGGAGTTCTACTCAAGAGCACAGGATGAAAAAGCAGGCAGCAACGAGGGGCTCACCACGAGCAAAATCCCGAATAATGGAACTTTCTAGCACAAATAGCTTTACAGGGACCCTAAGCGAGGTCCCAGTTACTGCCGGCTGCAATATGCTCTTCTGACACCGCATGGATTTTAAAAACGTTCCTACGATCGGAGGATTAAAAAGCAATTAACCGGCTGTCATATTCCCAACGCAAATCCCGATTTTCGAACCCCAGGCAGACAAACACGGATCTCTCGGCACTCAGAGATCCGCTGCACCGGGTAAAAACGCCAAAATACCTTAAAACACACCGCCACGGGTGGCACCTACCCTGTGGGGGCCGCAAAAAAGCCCTGCAAACCCGGCAGGGCGCTGCGTTAGGAAAAGCCCTGCGGATTCCAGGCGATCTGCAGCCCGTTTCCCCCCTTCCCCACCCAAACCCCGCAGCCAGGGCTGCAGCAAGGCAGCGGAGGGGAAGAAAGCGCCGCCTTACCTTTGACTTGGGTGTCGTACTCGGCTATGATCTCCTTATCCTTTTTGAATTTGGCCGGCGACGTCATGTTTTCTCCCCCCCAGAAAGGCTCGCCCTAGGAGCGGAGGATCCAGCAGCAGGCGAGCCGCGCAGCGCCCCGCTTCTCTCCTCGCCCCCCACCCCAAAAAAAAAAAAAAAAAAAAAAAGGGGAAAAAAAAAAAAAAACAAAGCTCAGTCCATGGGGCGTGGGGCGGCGGGGGGGGGCAGAGGCAGGCAGCAGCGGGCCCCGGGGGCGGTGGCTCCGTGTCCCCGCTCCGCAGCCCCCCGCAGCAGCATCCGCGCTCCCGCAGCCCCCGGGGGCTCCCCCGGCGTTAGCAGCGCGGTGGCGGCGGAGCAGGGCTGGAGGCTGGCATGGCGGGGCCGCAGCGAGCCGGGCTGGGGGGTTAATTTTTTATTTTTTTTCTTTTTTTGGGGGGGTTTCTCCTTTTTCTGCTTTTTCTCGCCGCGTGGATGCTGAGAGCCAAAGCCCGGCCGGGCGCAGGGGCAGAAGGCAGCGGCCGTCGTCCTGGGGTCTGCCCGCCTGCAGGGGGGGGACAAACGGCGGCGTTAGGGACCCGCGGCCGCCCCAAAAGGGGCCCGGAGCCCCCCCCCCAAAAAAAACAACCCAAACCTGGAGCCCCCCCACAAGGCAGCAGGGGCGGTGGGGGCAGCCGGGGCCGTGCCCGTGTCCCTCAGCCCCCCCCACCCCGTGTCCCCATCCCTGTCCCCCCCCATCCCCGACCCCATATCCTCCGTCCCCGCCCCCCCACCCCCCAAATCCCGTCCTCCCCATCCTCCATCCTCCACGCAAGGCTCAACTTTTTCCCTTTTTCCCCCCTTTTTTCCCCCATTTTCCCCCTTTTTTTTCCCATTTCCCCGTTAAGCCCGGGGGGGCTGCGGAGAACGGGAAGGGAAGCTCCGAGCCCCCCCCCCCCGGCCCCGGGGGCCCGCCCGGCACGAACAATGCGGCCGGGGGGGGGGAAAGGAAGCCCCGGGGGCTCCAGGACGAAGCCGAACGGAGCCCGGGGCTCCGCCGCCACAGCACCAGCCCCGCCTGGGGGGCGCACGGCGGGGACGCTGCGGCCGGGGGGGCACCGGAGGGGGCCGGGGGGGCTCCAGCGGGGACCACCAGGGGCCGGGAGGGGGCTGTGGGGCCGGGGGGGGCTCTCCCGGGGCCGGTTACCTGGGCGCTGCGGAGCCGCCTCCCGCCCGCCCGGCGTCCTCCGGCCGCTGCCGCCCGGTTCCCCCCCCCCGCCTCTTCGCCCCCCCCCCTCCCCGCCACCGCCGCCGTTGTCGCCACCCCGCCGCCCCGCCCCCTCCGTCCCCGCGCCCAATCGCCGCGCGGGGATGGCTTCGAGCGACGGGATTTGACGGCCAATGGGGAGGAGGCGCCGCCCCGCCCGCCCCGCCCCTCAGTGGGTAGCGGAGGCTCCGCCCCCTGGCGGGGGGGTGGGCGGGGCGTGGAGGAGCGCGGAGGCCTCCGCCCCGAGGACTGCGGAGGGGCGGGGCGAGGCGCGCGGCTCCGCCAATCAGAGCAGGGGGCGGGGCGTGCGGCGCCCAACGGCCGCCCGCGGCTGGGGATTCAAACGGGCGGCACGAGCGCGGCCGTTACCGGGCCGAGCCCAGCGCCCCCCAACCCCCCCCCCCCCCCGCCGCCATGTCCCTGTCGGGGCCCGGCGGTGCCTTCGCGGAGCGCTCCGTGGCCGTGCTCTGCTGCCGCTTCTGCCGCCACGTCCTCAGCTCCCGCGGCATGCGGGCCGCGCTGCTCGCCGCCACCGGCACCGCCCCCGACCTGTACTCCACGGACATCCCCCCCACCGCGTGAGTCCCGGCGGACGGGAGGCACCGGCAGCGCTGAGGGGGGGATAGGGGGGGAGGAAGGGGATGGGGGGAGGAAGAGCAGAAAGAAGAGGGGGGGGGGAGGGGAGGAGGAGGAGGATGGAGGGAGAGGAGGAGGGAGAGGAGGAAGAAGGAAAGGAAAAGGAAAAGGAAAGAGGGGATGGAGGAAGCGGAGAGGAGGAAGAAGAGGAGGGGGATGCAGGAGGTGAAAGAGGAGGAAGGAGAAGAGGAAAGGGCTGAGGAAGAAGAGGAGGAAGCTGTGGGAAGGAGGAGGAAGATGAGGAGGAGGATCAGGACCCTCCTGGTCCCCACGGAGCCTGCCCAGCCCTGGCACTGCCCCAGCCCCGAGCTGCGTTCCCACCGCGGCATTTGAATGCCAAGGAAATGAGGTTGCAAAGCAGCGTGCTGATGGTGCTGATGAGGGAGCGGGGTTAAAGAGGAGATAAGGAATCAGAGGCTCGCTTTTAAATGTCCCGGCCTTTGAGGTACCGGGCGGGAGGCTCAGGCGAGGCCCGCCAGGAGCCGGGGCGACATCTGCAGTCAGATCTCGGGCTGGTGGAGTCACGGTGAGAGCGGCAGGGCCCCGGTGTGCCGGTGTCAGGAAGCATCAGGAGAACTGGTGCTTTCTGGTTTACGTTGGGGTGACTCGTGACGCCTTAACGTAACATCTCGGGGCGTTTTCTTGTTCCCACATGAGCACGGCTGCTAACTGACAGGTAAAAGGCACTGCGTGCTCTTGAGAAAGCACAACACGAACATCCCTTCACTGTGACTTCGCACCTGTGCTGTCAAAACCTTGCAGTTGTAACCAGAGCTATGTCTAAACTTTAATATTTTTACTCTCTTCCCACCTAGTACTGTTGACTTCATCGGCAGCTGCTATTTTACTGAAATCTGCAAATGCAAGCTGAAGAACATCGCGTGTTTGAAGTGGTAAGGATGTCACCCGATGACACCAGCACCTTCACAAGCATGCATGCACTGCTGCGGTGCTGCTCAGCCTTCTCGCTGTAGCCTACTGCAGTGAGAAAATTAAGGGATGAATGAACAGATTGCGTACTTTATTTCAGATTTAATGCTGCCTGATAGAAACTCAGCCCACTACTTCTGGGCCTGGCTGCCAGTCTATTTCTGTGCAAGTCCCAAGTGGAAATGTGACAACCTTGTCAGTCTGAGTATATGGGAAAGCTTGCGTGCCACCTGCCTGATTAAATGTCTGCTTCAACACTGAGATAATTGTGTGAATAAGGCCACAGTAAGAAGTACTTACTCATATTCTAATTAATAGAACATCCTCTTGGCAGATCTGGCTGTCGCTAGCAGATGGAAGATGCTGTCACTAAAGTTCTTGGAGTTCTTTTATCCTCTTTACTAATGTATGATATTTAAGACTAAAAACAACTCTGGTAACGCATTTCATGTAGCGTTATTTGAGAGTATCCTTTCAGCTTCTTAACGGAGACTTACCTTGCTTGGATTTAAAGGGGAGAGAGCAGGTTATGATAGGAACACAGCATTTTAAATTTTACGACAAAAGTAGAGAAAGTGAAATATCTCACTGGAGCGCATGACTGAGAAAGGAGAAAAATGTCATCCTAGGTTTTGACCTAGGAGAGCAGATAAAGCTTTCATAGTCTTAGTCTTAAGGATATTAGTTTTAGTCTCTCTCTCAAAGATATTATTCTTAGCCTCTCCCTATTCCTGACACTCATGCACAGTGCTGCTTTACAGATGAGCTGTACGTTCATGATGGATTTGATTCCAATGGAATCACTGGCCTTCAAACTAAAGAAACACCGCCATTGCTGATATAATGCCATTGTTATGTAAACTAATCCGGATTGCACAAGTCAGGTTACTAAATAGTTCTCTGTGCCAAAGATCTAAAGTTTAGATATTCTGCAACTCCTGACAGATGTTTTCTAAACACTTAAGATGCTTGTTTAATTACGTTCCCTTAACTTTATCAAAATAGGAGCATCACATAATGGTCTTGTACCCTTGCTATTTGATGTTAATTTCAGCTAGAAAAAGCACCATTAATCTTTCCATCAGGCTTTTGTGTTGCTCACTATTTCGCTTGTCTTTCTAGCGGTAATGTTGTTGGTTACCATGTGATCTCTCCCTGCAAACCTTGCCTGTTGTCCTGTAATAATGGCCACTTCTGGATGTTTCATAGCCAAGCAGTCTTTGGCATCAACAGACTAGACTCTTCTGGTAAGGAACACATATGTTTCCTTCTCTTCCCTGAAATCCTGAATTCCAAATCCTCTTTCTAATGAGGCGTCTCAATATAGTTAAAGCATATGGAGAGCGTGTAACATATGGAGGCATACGGCAAGTGTTGCTGTGTTGCTAATCTAGCAAACTACTTTGGGGGAGGTAGTTGTAGCTACTTCCTAAGTTATAATTTCTAGTAGAAATTAATTTTCATCAGAACACTTAACCTACTGTTCCTGTGGGTGAAAGTCAGGATTTTCTGGAGCAATATTATAACTGCTATAAACAACAGAGCCACCAGCTGCTATTTATAGCGGTACGTATAGCTTTACAGTGCTATCAGGCAGCTGTCCCACGGGCACTCTTTTTGGGTGAGTCATGTTGTCACTTTGACCCTATATAACTGAGTCCCCATTAGCTCAAGCTGAAATTACAGCTCCTGCTAGCTCCTTTATTCAGCTAGATCTTCTCTGGATGCCAAGTGTCTAGCATAATTTGCCTCGAGTCCTCAGGAGTGCATAGCATTCTGACAAATCACTTCACCTCCTTGCACACGAGAATAACTTGTTGTCTAAACCTTTCAGTGTCACCTGTGTTTCAGATCAATGCATTTAAAAATAAATTGGCCATGAGGGGATTATCGATAGCTATGTGAATTAGCGATATGATTACATCAGTAGGCAGGGACTTACTCTTTGAGCTATGCTGTAAACAGCAACACCTACAAGATCACTTTGGAAGAAAAACAGGAAATATTCACGTTAAATATATGAAGATTGTGACTTACCAGTTTTTGCTATAAGAGTACTTACTTTTACTGAAAATAGACACTTGAGCAACTTAAAAATAAGGACACCATCCAGAAATATATTTTTCTTCTTCTTCTGTCTTACCTCCTTCCCACCAGGTGTGAATGTATTGCTCTGGGGCAACTTGCCAGATTTGGAGGAAAACACAGATGAAGATACGTCATGCATCTCTGAGGAGGAGTATATCAGATAGCATTTATCTACAATATACTACAGTATCTTCCCTAGATACGTTCCATTGCTGTTTGTTTTGGACTTGTCTTCCTGCTGGCCCATCACAGCTTAAACAATGGAGGGAACCATGAAATCTGGAAAAGAATCCTGTAAGATGTCATCTTCTGTCGCTGCAGCGTGCCTTAAACTCTTGCATCTGCCTTGTGTGTATCATTCTGACTGGAGACATGCTCTGAACAGATCTGAATGTCAGATATTAGAGATGCAGATGGCAGGTGCACTTACTGAGGTCTAGGTCTGGTTTGTTCTTACACTTAAGTTTCAACAGTTGACATGCCTGCTTAACTGTATTTTTCTTCTTTGCTCCATGAATACTGTTTTAGTAAAGTCTTTTACATCCTGTAAGTACAGCTTAAAAATCTTGAAAAATAGTCAGTTTTGTTGATGGATGATGCTCTGAAGCACCATTGCTTAAGTAGTCACACAGACCATTCGCTGCCCAGAGCTTTCATTCTGAGTGTACAGAGTCGCTGAACAAGTGTCTTGAAGTGTCATAGCTTTGGCTTTATTGTCTTGGTCTCTTACTTCTAGCAGCTTGTTCTCTAGGCATCTGAAACACGTTAGGATGCTCCTGAATGTGGAGTGGGGAGCTGTCTTTCTGAGTCTTCCGGTCTTCATCTTTCCGTACTTTTAGGATCATGTTTCTGCAAAGATCAAGTTCCGTTTTTTTTTTTTTTCCACCTTCCCCCCAGTAAAATCTAAATACTGAAGTTTGTTAATGTCTAATGTGACTTTGGGACAACTACCTACTAGAGTAGTTAAGACCAGCAATAAAACCCATCCAGGTTTGTGTGTTATTTTTCCACCTGATAGGATAGGCATTTTTCTAAAACAGAACTTAATCATCCAATTGTGTCTCTTTCTAGAATGAGAAAAAAAATCAAATCAAATATTCAGTGTTTGTGCCTAGCCTTACATCCTGAAGCATAGAGACAATCTCATTCCTCTAAGCAGTAATGGATGTAAAGTTCATTACCGGAGTTGTTAAGTCATAGTAATTAATTTATGAACTAAATACTGTCCCCTTCAGCTAGTCAACTGAAGGATCATATTTGGAAAATTCATGTTACGGTCATATAAGAGAACTGGCAACACTTCCAAAGTTGGATTGATACTGAATTAATCATTCTATAGCCTCTCCTGCTACTTTGAAGAGTATCAGGAGAGATGCTTTGAAGACAGATCTGACTTTTCCTAGTATTTTTACTGTACTGCATTTTTATATTTCTTCACGGTGCTACCTCTTCTGTGTTGTTTAAATGTATATTTGTGTGTATATATGTGTGTGCGTGCCAATGTATAGATATGTCTTGTTTGGATTTCCTGTATTATGTTTGCTCACTAAATAAAAGGTTTGGACTATGTACTTCTCTATGGGCTGTAATATGGATATATAATGATATCAGTTAGATAATGAAAACAATGGAGCAGTATCTTGTATCAGAATTAGGTTGAATTATTAGGTTCTTCCTACTGTGACTTTGTTTCAGAGACCAAAAAAATCCCTTTCTCTTGGTTGAGAACTGTCAGCTTCTCAGTCTTAAGGGTGTTTAGTTAGTTAACTTCTGTAATAACCAAACATCCCCCTTCTTGACGGTTTTCTATGCTGCATGAATTTTTTTTATGCTATACAGTAAGCTGGCAAGATGACACTAAACACAAAGATTTTTCTAACTGAATTCATGACCTAAAAATACATCTGATGCTGTTTCTTTTTGTATAAGGAACATAATTCAAAAAAAAAATCCATAATAGAATTCTGCTTTGTAAGCTCACCACTTTTAACCTTCCAAAACCTCACCTTTTGTCAATGAGTGGGTTCTGTCAATGGCAGGGTTGACTAGTGAGCTGTTCTCTTTACCCATAGAGTAGTAGAGGACTGAAATTTCTTCACAACAAGTCATTAATTCTCAATTTGCTCTCTATCTGTTCTTGCACATAGAACTGGAAGTTCTACTGTGAACTACTTTAATTACACAGGCCTGTTTGAGCTGGTTCTTCACAACTAGACAGCAGCTTGAAATAAAAAATGAGCCAACTCTGCAGTTTGTTCCAGCCTTTTTTTGAGGATAAAAAAGTTGTGTGTGTTATATGCAAAGTAAACAAACATCATCCATTGCTCTACCTGTTATGAATGTTGCCAAACCAACCACTCATATCTAGGGCTGCTTTCTATGTGAAATCTAAAAAAGAACTGACTAAGCAGTTTGTGGTGTAGCCACTACTCCACATTCACAGGGCCCTAATATGTTGGGTGAAGGTTTCAAGGCTTACCCTGTAGAGGAGAATACTTTCCAGGTTGATAGATAGATAGATACCTCTAGTACAAAAAAGCTGACACAAAACTGGATCGATGCTTCTAGAAACCTTCCCAAATACTTCAATCTAGCCAAAGATTTTTTTGAAATAAAAAAGCTCAGATCTCTACTTTGCCGGTCTTTTGCTTTCTCTGTACTCATTGACATACGAGAGATGTATGTTACAGCAAAGCCCTGGAATCTCATGAATCACTTGGAAGGATACGGGTGTGAGGCACGTGGTATAATTGTGCTGAACATTAAGGCAGCTTCCGGAATGAATGGATCAGCAGGGCTCAGCTTCTTGCTGGATCCCTGGTCAGTCACACAGAGCTGGGTAGCTGTTGTCCTTGCTAAGGGTTTTACAATAAAAGTTTATGTGAGCTCTGCTGCACTGCCAATGGAGTCAAAAGTGGAGCACAAAGCTGAAAAACAAGAACCCAGTCCTAAGGCTTTTCTCTTCTGCTCATTAAGGTACACACAGCAAGTAATTGTAAGAACTTTAGCGTCTCTAATCAGATCTGGATTTATTCAGAAGTGTAAATGCAGGCAACATCTCTTAAATTTTAAACTCAAAGTCAGAGCTACCGCAAGACCTTCAGAGTCTCCTGGCACTCACAGCTCAGTTAAAATCAATGCAGTCAGCCTTAATGCCCATAGCATTACCTCTGCCACTGGGCTCTCATCTGTCACACCATGTACCAGGCCGTGCACAGCAGCTCTGCAGCTATGAGATGTTGTGTAATACTGCCGTGTAGGTTCAGGGTCACTGGCTTGTTTGGATGAAAACATTTGAAAGTAGAACTCCAAAAGTCGCTGAGGATAAATAGCTCCAGTTTGGATCACGGGGCCATTTGCAATTATGCTGCCATTGACAGCCACCCATCTTCTTCTCTGCAATTCACAATTTGCAATTCTAGCTGGAGGGGTAGGAGAAAGTCATAGCAAGACAGTGATAAATTGATTCCCCTTCATATTAAATAAGACTTACTGGAAGAAAAAGCACATTTAAATATTCTTCATTATTTCGGTGCAGATTAATGCCTAATCATAATCTTACATTTATGTAACACCATTCATCCCAAAGTGCTTTACAATGACAAACAGTTAAGAATTCCTTTACCACTGAACTGCAGCCAACTCCAGGATGCAAAGCAGCTGCCAAGTAGACAGCATGCTGCAAGGACCACGGTAAGCATCACCCTGTAATGAAATTCAGTATGTGATCTCTATCAGTACAAACCGATACGTTGATTATTGAGGGAGGCTCAACTTGAAAGGCACTCTCTTCTTAGCCTGGAATGCAGTTCATCCACTTCAAACCCGATGACAGATGGGTCACCTCTCCTAGGACTGGGCCCAAGAAGCTCAAGGTTTGAATCTGGGGAAGAGACAGAAACAACCGAGCCATCTCAGCTCCTTTCTCTGGCGTACAAAAGCTGGCACTCTCTTTTAAGTCAGTTAAAATGGTCAATTGTTATAAATCACCTAATTACTTTGTCGTGAGAGGTCATTGTTACATAGTTTATTACGTTTGCAGCCTGTGTGGTTTCTGAAAGCATACCCCAAGGAACAGTGCGTATCCCAAGTAAACAACCTTTGTGTACTATTATTTGGATTAAGGGAGTGTCTACAGGCTAGCACAGTGTAACAGCTGTGGGTGCCTGTTGTGCAAGAACCTGTACGAGCACGGTGACTTGTAGTCTCCCAGAACGTACGCTGTAAACAGAACAGCCACGGGATGGTAAGGGAACGGCACGGCTGGCTCTATCAGGGGATCAGAGGTAAAGCCTGAACTGTGCAGATCTGAAGAGGAGCCTCCTTTGTTCTGAGACTGCAGAGACCTGAGCTGAGCCTGTTCCTGCAGCTATGGACCAGTTCTTCCAACGTGCATTTGCAGGTTTATGAATATATTCAGCTCTTCCAGCACCTACTCAATCATCTCATACCTCATGCAAGAAGCTGTCTCTGTGCCAGCATTTCTGGAGTTCTGCTGCATTATTAGATTTCTCTCTTGCTCTATCATACAAGGATATACCCTATAGCCAAATACCCATCAAAAGCATACATGGAAAACGGGTTATTCCAAACCTGTATAGATTCAGGATTCACAGGACTAAGAGATGTGCCCTCCAATTATGCAGTATGCAGGAGAGAAAAAGCAGGATGCCTGCCTCAAACGGCTCCTGTGAAATTAATTCCAAGTTGCTGATGCACCACCCAAAATTCCCTCTCATCAGGAAATATTAACCATGCTATGCTTTGAAAAAGCATCAGCATTTTCCGAGCAGCTATTAGCCAGGGGAACATTTTAGCTGCTTTGCTGTCTGCAGTGTGTCTTGTCATCTTGCATGCGTGACACAAGCTTAACAAAGTGAGTCTGCACTCTATTGATTTCTCATTAGAAAGCATGCCTCACATTTTGGACACCAGTGAGGGGAAAAAATAACAGGGAACAAAGCCGGTCAAATATAAGCCAAACAAAATCTCTGGTGCTTCACTTCTTATGTCATCTGAATGCTGACAGCTTGATGTCTCTGGGTAATGCCACACGAGGGAAATTAGCACCATAGCACTCTTATGCACTGCCATCTGCATGTCAACGTATGTAGAAATTTGTGCAAGCCGTTAGAAAGCAAGATTGATAAAAAAGGCTTGATCTTTTGCATTTCTCTGACTACGCTTATTTCCTGGAGAAAAGTGCTAATTAAAAATAACCCAGCATCGCCCCAACCTAACTGCAGCCACACTAGGATTCTTCCCTGCTGTGCTACAGCAGAAGCTTATTAGTTCATCCCACTCCAGCATATGGCCTGTTTTGGGATAGGAAATTTCCACTAACAGAGGAGATGATGCCAGAAATACAGGTGTTTGGGGACTGCCTTCCTAAGTAATTTAGGAACATAAAACCAAAAGGGAAACAGGTCTTGTGTCTACTGGGCACATCTGACAGTTCTATATACAAGGCAAGCTAAAGAGCATCTAGAATAAATTAATAAAGTCGTATGATTTTGCCTCTTCTTATCTACCTGCCTCCCAGAGTCGATGTTACACTCCAGCAACAGACTGCCCAGATAAGCAGAGGGGTTTGGGGACCAAAGGACATCAAAAAAACGGGAATACGAAGCTCACACACAATTTGTCTGCACCTTTTGGAGCTTTTCCCAGCAGCTGCTCCTTTATCAAAAAATTATTTGTCTTAGTTTTAAAAAAATACAAATATCCATTTAGCTCTGAGACTGACAGAGCTTCAGGAAGAAGGAGCCTGGCCTGCTGGCCACGTGAAGCTCCCAGAGGACAGCTTTTTCAACAGACACCGGCAACAGGAGGAGGCACGAGGTGGCGTGCAGTCAGTGCTCCAGCACCAAGCTGCATCGAGCGTGAGGAGTGCCAATCTTCAGCGTGAACATGACAAGAGGACTTAGGCCTGAATCAAACCATAACGTGTGAAGCTAGAAATCCCCAAGCATTTGAAGACCAGCATCAATACGATCTGCAGCCCAAAATGGGACTAAGAGTGCACCTTCGAAGACTATGTAAGCAAAACTGTGTGTCACGCTGCCAGATACAAAATCCAGGTCCTTACACATTTTTTAAATGACTTCGAAGCCACTTCCTTTGCCTGATTCACTTATTCTCTTGCTTCATCACTGCATAAGTGGAAATAGAGAAAGAAGTAGATAGTTTTAGGCCACCAAAATACCAAATTGTTTCCTCACAAAGTGGCCAATGAAGCCCACACCAGCAGAGAATTATTTGGTTAAAAAGACAGATGGAATAATACAGGGTCACATTTGAGGGATGATTGTGAAAGCTACTACAGATTCACCCCAGCATTCGCTCAGACTCAGATATTAATGCCGAAAATGTTTGGAAAAAATGAAGCAATTTGCTCTTGTGCAAGGGTCCATCACAAGACTTTCCACAATGTTGCTCTGCTCTTTATTGGAACACAGGTTGGAAATGAAGTTTACCACAAATCCAAATAATTGTGTAGCTGAGAAGTGAAAATTCAGATAGATACATTTTTTTCCCCTCACCTGCTACTAGGAGGCAGCATTCACAAGTGTCAGGAGGTACAAATTCAGCAGAATGTGCCTGTTTTTTTAGCTCCAGTCATTATGTGGAATCACAATTCAAACACTGCTTTATAAAACTGGTCCTGGCCACTGTTGAGAAACCTTTCATCGTGATAGCTAGGTGCCCACTGATTTGGTACAGACGTGCCAGTGACAACACACGCCTCTGAATCGCTCCTTACCTCTGGGCCACCCCGATGGAAGATCCCCAGCGAGCTGAGGGCTCTTGCTGTAATCCAGCCACAAAAATCACAAGGACTTAACACCAAGCAGCTTTTGGACAGTGACAGGCACTTTGATAACAACCTGCCACTCAGCCTGGATCACTCGAGCCTCTTCCAGCTCCTGCCAGGGGGGTTCAAAACGTGGGCACAGATGATTTTGGCACTAATTGTAGTGTACGCTGCCAGACCTGACAGGAGAGGCAGCATCACTTTCCCCTCTTGGTGCCTTGCTACTTATTTAGATCTGTCACGTCTCCTCCTGCGCCGTAAGGGCTAGCAGGAGCTACCAGGTGAATCCACGCCTGACATTTTCCAAAGCCCAAGGGAAAGCAGGGCAGTTATCCCCCTGCTCTGTCCCTAATAAGTTTGATCTTACAGTCTCTGCACTCTCCTGAGCCTCCCTGCAGAGATCAAAGTCAGCTATGTTTGGGTGTGCAAGCACATACACGCATGGAGAAGACACGTTAATTATGGCCTGGAAATCTCTCTGCTAGAAAAAGAACTCCTTCCCTCTTGGTCGTTTCCCTCACCTCTCCCCCACAGAATTTCACGCTGGCCTGATTTACTCCCTGAAACCAGCTTTGGATTGCAAATGGCCTAGGGACAAGAGACACGAACCAAGTATTTCTTGGCTGGAAGATGTGCACTTTGAAGAGCAGACACTCAGCACTAGCACAGGCTCTGGTGCCACAGCACGGAGCCAGGGACTTGTTTCTTAAGCTTTACTTTCCCTGTTTGCTGAGCTGTCAGGTCAGCGGTCACTGCAAAGGGGATGGTAGAAAGGGAGGTATTTAGGCAAAAATGACTGTTTTATTTGGTTGCTACCCTCATACACACTGCTGATGTGCTTGGAGGAAAAAATAAATAAATAAAAATGAGGAAACTTATCTTCATTTTGCTGGCCCAGTCTGACACCGAGTACACACTCATCTCTTCTGCTCCCAGAAGGGAGGCTGCTGTTTGCAAGATGCGGCTTCCAAAGGGGTGTAACAAAGGCGGTGGGAGGGAAAGTGTAAAGTACAGGCTCAGCCTGGTGCATCTTTCTATCAGAAGCCTGCAAGGCCTGCGCACACCTCCACAAACTGACCCCAGGTGCTGAACCAGCTGGAACGCGCTCAGGGGAAAGAGGTGTATCCACAGAGCTGACAAGGAGGGGAGGCTGGCAGCAAGGGAGCACATCTGGGCCACCCCAAAGGTGGGTCTGTTGCTGTGCCGGAGCAGCCTGCAGGTCCCTCCAGCTCAGGGCCCTCTGCCTTGGCCAGCTCATCAGGAGGCAGCTGCCTTTGTTCCTGCAGTCTGGGAATATCCCAGTACCTCACCGACAGCAACCCTTTGCTTCCAAAGCTCTAGGAACAGTCTGGGGATATTTTTGTGAGCCAGACAGGAGCACCTCCGCCTCCCCCAGTATCTTCCAAATTCCTTTGTAAAGCAGATAATCTGATTCCTTCCTCTTCCCATTTTTAAAAATAAAGCATTATTTTTTCACGTTAAACAGCGTGTGTTTTATGTTTGCCAAACTGTTTTTATTATTATTTTTTCCCTGCCATTACAGTTTTGCTGGTGTAAATTGCTGCTGATCTCTTGCCCCAAAATACCCCTTTGTCAGCCCCTGCAGACACCCAACGGTGCCGTGATCCCTGGTGCTGATGCACACCCAAGGTGACAGTCTCCTATTGCTGAGGCCACATCACTTGATAATCTGCTGAAGTTACTACTGGAAAAGCATCCTGCTAAGATCACCACAAGCACAAATTATGCCCCGCACATCAAATGTCTTCTCCAGCTGATAAAATCCTACAGCCAGAGCAGGACAGCTGCTCTTCCATCTAACCAACGTGGTCCCTCCAGCACACAAGTAAGCAGGGGTGGGGGCGTGGGGGGTGTTAGTGCTGCAAATGCATGCACGTGCACGCTCCGTGGCGAGCCGGGGGTCTTCCAGCTCCGGGTCTCAGCACAATAACTGTCATCACCCACAGAATAAGAGACGCTGGCATTATGCTCGACAAATTTGCATTCAGAGTGATAACGGAAAATCCAACTGAATTTATAACTTCATCCAAATCTTAAGGCCGAGAGGTTCCTCAGCAAAGCACTGAGTATTTAATTCTCTGCTAATAGAGTGAAATAGAGATAGCAGAGAAAACGCAGGAGCTCACTATCAATGGAAACAGAGAAAGGGACACTGATATTTTAAGGCATCCACCTTTAGGTTATAAGCTGCTTATCTCAGACTGCTACATATGTGGTCTCCTTGGGAACAGAGTCAGACAATAAATCAGATGTGCCAACAACATTTATCAGAAGCTCCAACTAGCCAAAAACATCAGCTCTCCTAAGAATGCCAAATCAGTTTTGCAAGATGCGCGGCCAAGCCTGGAGTCACTCTTGAGGCATGCGGCAGGGGTAAGAAATGCTGCTGTTAAGCTCAAAAGAAATGTTGCTTACATTACTGTTCCTTATTGCTGAGACCTCCTGGAGCCACAAGCTGCATCAGAAGCTTCAAAGAAAGGTAAAAAGACAAAAATCAGGCTGACATTATGTAGGCATGGCTAACACACAGGCAGGACAATGAGAAACACAGAAACAACCCAATCCACTCTTTTCACAGTTCGAAGCATGCAAGAGATTATTCATGTCTTATTCCAAAAAGGAGGGGAAAAAAAAAAAAAAAAAAAAAAAAAAAGCACCAGTATAGAGATAGAAAATGATAGGAATAAAAACAGCTTGAGAAAAATCAGCAAGATAACAGTATGAATATTCTCTGCTGCCAGACACAAGCAAAAAAAATCCAGACATTTCATATGTGCAAAAACAAAACAATCTCAACCAAATCTCTCTGTGAAAAATGGTGAAAATTTCCCGACCAGTTCCAAAATGCCTCGCTGCTTATGTGTAACCAAAAGAATGTCATGGCAGGCATTCCTGGGGCACAGGCCTCCGTCTCATTTGCAAGGGATTTGGCCTGGGATTGACAAGTGCAAAAGAAACGGCAGCAGCTCTGCTTGGCAAGTCTTACTCATCCCGAAAGCCTGACCTCCAGGGGCATCAGACATACTTTGGCGGGCACGCGATCTGATAACTGACCCACAGCCTGGGAGCAAATGTCTCTGGCAAGCGTCAGGGCATCGGGATGAACACAACGCCAGCATCTGCTCCGTGCACAGCTTCACCTGTGGCCACAGAAGAGGAAGAAGTGGCCACCCCTCCCCTTAAGGGTTGTGAAGTGACTTGAGCAACGTAGGGCTTCTGAAAAAAGCAGCTTACACCTGGTCTGGCCACAGGCTGGCAGCTCCCTGACCTCCTCCACGGTGCAGACGTGGTACCCGCTCCCCTGGCGGTCGCAGCCCCTCGTTTTGGAGCGTACCCTGAGCACAACCACAGTGCTCAGACAAAAAAAAAAAAGATGAGAAGGAACAGCACGGCTACTTGAACTGCAGCACCACCAGGCTCTGACCTTGTCCGTGCAAGGCGTGGTGCTAATAAGGGAGAACGTTACATGTGCCCTGACCCCGGCACTTCCAGGGGCTGCAAAAGCAATTCCCCAAATCCAGCACCCAACGCGGCCACGTCTGCACGGGGAGCAGCAGGCCACGGGGTAATTCCCACAGAGCTTGTAACAGAAACCAGAGGTGCCTCCAGGGCAGCACCGGAGCTGGAGAGGCTTTTCCCTGCCTGGCAGCAGCGCGATCAGCCGGCTTCAGCCCAATTACACGTCCCTCCTGCTTCTGGCACGCTTCTGGCACACTTTGGGCACGCTTCTGGCACACCAGGCTCCGTCACAGAGGCACCCACCAGCAGCACGGCAGCTCCTGAACCCCCGGCCCCCAGCAGCCCGGGGCACCCCCGGGCCCTCCTGGGGCACCCCCCGACCCCCCCCCGGGCACCCCAGGGCCCCCCCCAGCACCCCCTGGCCCCGGGCACGGTGCCGGGCGCCCTCTGCCGGAGCGCAGCCGCGCGTGGGGAAAAAACCTCCACATCTTTCAGTTAAAGTCCAGTAATTGGCAGTGGGGTACAGAAGGAAGGGGGAGTGCTCAGCATCTCTTTTCTCCTAATGGAGACAACAGGAAAAATAAAATATAATAATAATAAAAAAAATCCATCTCTCACCTTTCTGGGGGCCGCAGCAGCCCAAGTAGCTGCCACGGCGCTGCAGCACAAAACCCTTGGAGCCACACTGTGCCTGCCTCGGTGGCCTCCTGGAGCCTCACCGTGCCTGATTCCCATGACCGGCCCCCAAAAAGTGCCCCGGAGCTGCAGCTGCATGGACAGCACAGCACAGAGCCCTTTTCCACTAGAGGACAGTGCCACACTGGAAAGCACAGGCTGTGGCCCTTGCGACACGCCGCCAGCACTGCCCGCTTCCCAAAGCAGCCTCTCTGAGTCACATCTGATAACGCTGGCTCGCAGTAGAGCAGAGGACAGGCAGTAAACCTGCAGCCAGGGGCAGACCGAAGGGAAGGACAGGACGTCCCGTCCAGCTGCTGCACAGCCTCGTGCTCTGCCCCTGCACAACGACACCCCACAGCCGCGCAGGAGAGGCTTTCTGATCTGCTTTATGCTCCTCGTCTGTTGGATTGTTTTCCTCTGCCACCTTCTACACTGCATTATGCTGGGGAAGAGATCTTGGCTTGAAATCTCTGCTCATCCCACTGGTGGCTGAATGGCACTAGGATCGGTTTCCATTCACTTTGCTTTCATTCTGGCCCCGTGAAGGCAGCCAAGCCCTGGATAGAAGGCTGCTGTACCGACTGCGTTCAAGTGGGTGTTTTTCTGCCATTAGCCACTGTTTTTACTATGAGATGAGGCAGAGATATGGACTGATCAGGCAGGCATACTTCAATGGCATTTGTGCACAAAACACAGATCCAGTATCTGACCATGCCAGGAAGGATGGAGGGGAGAGCAGAGCTTTCGAGAAAACCAGCAGTCTGCTTTAGGCAGGCAGTCTAATTCACGATCTGCATCTTTCCCTTTCTTCTTCTGATGTCTTTCTCCATTAGCAAAGTAAGAAATGAGGGGAAGAATAAAGTCAGTAAAGTCTCAGAAATGGTTCATTTGATGCCTTTGCTGACATTTTCCTCTGGTTAGTTTTAATTTGACTTTACAAACCTTTTTGCAGCTGTGTTTTGCCTTTTGGTGAGGGGCAGATTTTCCACAGCCACAACCAGCTTCAGATCCCGTAACTGCCATTACCACTGCCCAAACCAAGGTCATCCCAGGAGAATATGATCACTGCGACTTGGCTGCCCTTTGGCAACCCCTTTCTCCGGGAACCTGTGCTGAAGTTCAGTGCATATTTCCTGCTCTGTTTTCCCTCAGAAGTGTTATCAAGTGACTAGTGGGTAATGGAGTGCCATTTAAATCCAATTAAATACCTCCTCACCCACTCGAGACTGCCAGGGAAAAAAAAGAGAAAACAGCTACTGAGGTGTCACCCAGAGGGAAGGCCTTTAGCAGCAGTAGAGATGGGTGTTGGGATTTAAGAACATCCAACAAACGGCATTCACAACAAGCAGGATTGTGGAGCTCATTCACTTTGTTTTCCCCCGTTAACAACCAGTCTGCCTGAAGTGAAACAGCTAAACAAATGAGGTGAGGAATGAGATTTTCAGAGGAGGCAGAGCTGGGTTCTGATCATTAACACTTTTGTAGCTTTTACACATTTCCCAGTGCTGTCACTGGGTTTCTCTCTGCGGTGATAAACGCTGCCACCGCCTTGTTTTTAAGCTGAAGTCCAAGACAAAACAACAATAAAATCCCACGTTTAATCTAACACGGCCTCCCAGAAGCATACACTTTGTTGGAACTTATTAACCAGCTCCCCGCTTGTTCCCTGCATAATCAGTTTGTACTTCAAAGTCTCCTCTAGCAGACAGAGCTAAATGATGGTGTTAAATTCACTCATGTATAAAATTAATTAGTTTTGGGGCAGGACAGTGGATATTGGTTGTCAGAAGTTGAGATATTAGCTGAATGGGGTTGCCCAGGGCTCTGGGGACCTTTGTAACTTCCCAAGCAATACCTCGCTCCTGAGCGAGGCCTTTCAAGTGGGGCGGATGAGAGGAGCAGCGGCTCCCTGCAGCGCATTGTTCAGCAGCAGGAGAATTATCCCTCAGCTGAGCAAGAGGCAGAATGCTTGCTCCCACACTTACAGAAATACGCACTTGCAAGACCAAGATGTAGGCCAGTTACTGGTTACTGCCACAGAAGTCACCCAGCGTTATAAATCCCCTCCCAGACTGCGGCACCGCTCTCTGTGCGGGGCAGCCGAGGCACCCAGCGGGATGCCTGAGGCCAGGTTCCCCACGAGGCTGTTGGCCAAGCGTGGGGTTCGGTGAGGCAGAGACCCCAGGCTGGCTGCAGTGAGGAGCCGGGCATTTTGTTACCTGCAAATCACCCGAGAGAGGAAAAAAAATTCCTGTCTGATCCCCTGCGCAGGCAGTGGGCACAGGTCACATCAGGGAGCAGTACCTTCCCCCAGTCTCTGTTTATTTCTAGAATAAAGCTTTCCCAATTACCTTTAGGACCTAAAAACTCATCTAATTATTTTCAAGTCTCACCATTAAATCTACCAGTTCGGGGGACCCTGGACCCACAAAGCATGGGGGCAGGTCCAAGCCCCCGTGCCTTGTTTGGCTCTACGCAAGGGGCTTAGCAGCAATTGTCACATTTCACCTGAACCCAACAGGTAGCTGTAAATCCACCCCCTCCCTGGGGCTGGGCTTGCTCTCACCTCTGTGTGACAGGCGAGATGCTTTGCTAAGCCTCGGGTGGAACCTGATGAACTGAGATGAATGACGTGCAAGGAAAGCCAGCGGTTCTCTGGGTTATGGACCTAGACTGTGACAGCCCCAAACTCCTGCCACACTCTGCAGGGAGCTCTCTTTGGTGCTTGACAGCAGGGCAAAAGGTCCTTAGATATAGCCAGGTTAAGACTATCTGCAAAATGTAAGCAAATGCAGGGCTTTGAGAAGCCCTGGGCAGAACCATGCACATGAACCCCCATCTAATTTGGAAGCACCAGGACCGTGATCAGAGCATGCTGCCTCTCCATTTTATTTCATCAAACAAAACCCTGTAAAACCTCAGGCAACCAAAGCCTGAAAAATGAAACATCTGTCCTTGCCACCTTCACCCCGTCCTTTGATTCCACATTCACACGCGTCTGCAGGTGATGGGGAAAGCTCCGGTGTGTGAGCTCCCCTGAAGAGGGCACAGCCCAGACACAGCTTCGGTTGCTGCTACAGCCACATCCATATTCCCGTGCCCATACAGAAGCCGTAAAGAAAAATCGCCCCTCGATGCTTGACCTGCATGTTAATTTGGTGCCTTTTCTAGACGACAGCAGCTCAGTGAGACAGGGAGATAACGTAGAGGCCAGTGAAGAAATCCATCGATTTCAGTCTGTGGTTTCCCCACCAGCAGGCTCTCACTACAGGCTGTGATGTGCTTGCATGATGAAGTGATAATCCATTACAGCCAAGAATACTGGTCCGCAGATCATCTGAATTATAAGTGATAAAACTATGCATTTGGCAGGTTCCAGAATGTCATTATTGTGAAACATGGGGCAACATTTCCCATTTACAGCAGCGCTAAGTACATCCTCATGGCCTTTCAAATCTGTTGTGCAAATGCATATGAAAATAGCTTTTAGGAGATGCCTTGGCAATTAGCACCGTACATGCAGGGAAGAGTCAGCGACAAAGAGATTGCCTGGTAATGCTAAATGGTGTTCTTCAGAGACACGCAGACCAGACTGCCGCAGACTAATCCAACCTTCAGCTGAAATATTCCCTTGGATCTAGGATCTGCATGAAAAATACGAGTTATGCTGCTGACACAGCTTTTGCCTTAGCGTGCCACTATCAGGCACTTCGGGACACCAGGTCGGGGGCTTCCTAGAATCACTTTCTGAGGAGGGGGCACAATCATTTCTATTCCACATCTCTCAAGTACCTTGTTTCACTTTACAGTGATTGCCCAATAAGTTGCCTTTATAAGGGCTCTGGGTTGTTGGCTTTACCATCAAAGCCACAAACCCTTCTACAGCTGCTGCCTCCCCGGAGGAGTCCTGCACTACAAAAAGTTCTTCAGAAATAGATGAACAATTTTCCTACTTTGTAGACTGAAAATAGCAATTTCTGCCTGTTCTTCATGAGAGCCAAGAAGGAATCAGAGGTTGAAATTGAGGCTAAATAAATAAAAATAGAGAGAGGCAGAAGAGTATCCAAGTGTTTACCATGGATCCCTGGGTCCCACTGATCTGGATAATGCCCCGAACACTGGGGCGCACACCCGAGCCAGCTCACAAACAGACCCAGCTACAATGCCACCATTACGGGCATAACCCTCAATTCTCACAGCAATGACTGCCCCCTCAGCATCCCAGATGCCAGGGGACGGTGTCCATGGGCTCTTCAGATCCACTCTGACTAGGGCAGCAGGACCCCAGGGCTCGGCACCCCGTGCTGCAGCTGCTGCTCCGTGCAGAATACATCCCGCAGCACACGCCAGCACTGAGCCGTGGTCCACCGGGCAGCTCCGTGAGCACCTTGGTGGAGCTGTGATTGCTGCAGGACATGGCCCTGAACGCAGGACACAGGGGGACACGGCTGCCTTGCCTGCCAGGTCCCGAGGCTGCTGCTGGTATCAGCCCTTTGCTGCCCGCCGTGACCCCGGCCGCCCCGCAGGCAGGCGGTACGTTCTGTGCAGCCGCTGTACTTTGTCACCTTCTCCTCACACACCCCACACTGGGAGAGGATTAAGCAGCATTAACTGCCTGCCCGAGGCTCCCGTCCTGCTGCTCTGCCTGCCAGGGACCGAGAGCGGTCCAGGATTAGCTGCTCTTGTGCTGGCCAAAGGACAAGGAGGTGCTGGCTGCGTGCTAGCCAAGGGAAGGACTCCCCAGTTTTGTGTGAGCCCTCGTTGGCTGCTGCCCGCTTCTAAACGAGATGTGGCAGTGGTGCCAGCAGCCCCCAGCCTCGGGTGGATGGGTCCAGCTGGGGGAAGGACCCCCCAAAGGGGAGTCACGGCTCCCAAACCCACTGCAGATGTCAGGCCAAAGCTGAATCCCCCTGTTTGTGCCAGGAAAGGCTGCTCCCCTGGGCGCCCGAGATCTCAAGGTCTGCTTTGCTTTTTTGTTTTGCCTTCATGCCTGGGTCTCCAGCCCAGCAGGTCCTGGGACAGCAGGGACACCCAAAGCACGGTGACAAAACGCAGATGCCGGAGAACCCAGACCTGCAGCAAGAAGCTGCCAAACAAAGCCATTGCTCCCATGCTGTACCTCCATCAACACCACGAGCATCCTCTGCCCACAGCCGTTTAATTAGGAGAACCAGACAGTATATTTAGAGCACAGCTTTCTGCTTCATTTGCAGGAACCGTAGTGCAGGGAGGAGGCAGACCATTAGGGCTATGTTTCCTAGGAGATTTTCACACACTAAGATGGGAGAGAGAGAGGGGAAAAAAAAAAAAAGAAAAAAAAAAAAGACATTTAATGCAGGCTGAAAGTAGAAATTCCACGGGCACTTCTGATCTTTTAAGCATGCTGAGCAGAACTACTAGTGCAACTACAGCAGAGCACTTTAATTGGGCTTATTTTGTCCTGTTCTCCATGTCACACACACAAAAAGACAGCAAGGAAAGGAGAGCACACTGCTCAAACAGCTGAAGAGATGCAGTGTGCCCAGCAGCAGTTCTAGTGGCCAAGTCCTCACCGTGAGCTTCTCTCTCAGCACCCTAAAGTCCCACACCTGGGCAATCCAAGAGCATTTGGGTAATTATGCGAAGCGATTGTAGGTAAGTACACCCAGTATTGCCCATTTTAATGGAACGAAATGGGCTAACATCAGGACCTCGGGTCACTTTAACAAGAAGTGGTCTCACAGGGGTAGCTGCATAATCCCAAACAGATTTCCCCAACGTGTTGGCATAACCTGGGCCTGACTATCAAATAGGCAAGAACAACCTTTAATCACGGAGCCTTGAACTTTGCTTTGGCAGGGGGAGTGCAGATCACTGCAGACATCCTTCCTATTATTCATCATCTTCTAATATATTGTCCTGAAACAGAAACAGCTGCTCCTCTCCTTTCATCATCCTGATTGATGCCTCTCTTACCTGGAAGGCAATGGGTTCGGAATAGCTGCAGTGCTTTCATCAGGCAAGAAGGGGAACAAGTAGACAAAGCAGATGGAAGGTCATGGAAAGGTCCTTGGTCACTTCTCCTTTCACGGAATTGAGCACATCTTAAAGCCTCTGCTCTTCTTTGTCTGAGAGAGGAGGACGAGAGGAACAGTTCCCCTCCCATGACAGGGCACAGGCTGGCTCCTGCACCCTCCTGCACCACTGATTTCAGCCCTGCCACGAGCTGCCTGCAGGACCCACATGGACCCGTCCCCATGCAGCCAGATCAGGACCGGAGCCTGGTGTTACCCGTGCCACTGGTGCAAATATCCTAGCAAGGTTTCTATTTAAAATAACATATATCATCTTTACAGGCTGTAGGGTCTGAAAATCACATGCACAGATCAGACCTCCACTGATAAGGCAAAATTCAGGACCTGAAGAAAGTCCCTGTCCCCAGCCAAAGGGGGACTTCCAACCCGCTGACTGTCCTGGTGCTGCCCCCTGCATCCCTCCAGAGCTGGCCAGGCACGGATTTTCCCTCCAGCAGCCTCAGGAGGACAAGAACAAGCCATTTGTTTCCAGCCTTGAAATGTAATTTTATTTTATTTTGTTTTCCTATTATTGATTTTAAGGTTGTAAACGCGCTGGCTGTGTCTGTTTTTTAAATGCTAATGATGATAACAGCAAAAGGAGATGAGGGAGCGGGGAAGGAAACTGAAGCATTTCACAGCTACCAAAGCCTTTTAACATCCCTGGCTCTGCAAGGGAACCAACAGGGAGAATGCAAAGATGATAAACAAGTAATTTGCTATCTTGAAGATGCCCGTAGCTTCAATTTTTCCTCTGGCAGTTGCCTCTACTTAAGCAGCCTGTTTCCACACATATGGGTCAAATTAAAAGACACGGCAAAACAACCAGGAAAAAAGTAAACTGTAATAGAGCTATCAGCTGCTATAACCCCCCAGGGCTGGTTTTATTTTATCCAGCAGAAATCCCCTGGTGCTATTCACAAGCCTGTGAGGCATTTCAGGATCACCCCTCAGCCCTTGCTCTGGCACCAACGAAAGGTAAGAAATCAATTTCAGCTGAAAGCGGCGCGGTTTTGCCCTTCCAGAGCTCCCATCCTTCCCTCTTACCACCAGCATCACCACCTGTCCTGCAAGCTCAAAGCTTTCCTCCCACCCCAAAAATGGGGCTAAGCCTGACTCCAGCTTCTCCATCAGGTGCTGGACGCAGCCGTTCACTGTCCCAGGAGGCACCGAATCCAGGTCACAGCTTGGCAATGTATCCTCCAGGGGCAGCAGGTCAACCCCCCAAGTTTATACTCAAGGCAATGTTTTTAAGCACTGGTAATTTAAAGTTTTGTTCCTTAATGCCACGTTCTTATTTTTTTTTTAGTTAAAAATTAGAAGAAATATTAAAACATATTAAATATTTTAAAATATATTAAATATTTAAAAAATCACATGGATATTCCATTATAATCCAAACTGCTCATTCTGCCTAGAAGTTACCCTGCGAGGCTTCTCTTTGGGGTATTTGCCATGCATTTAGCATATTTATTTATGCACCCAGTCATGCTCTCTAATATTAAGCAGGATCACAGGTTTTAATTAAAAGGAAAAAAAAAATCTGGATGAGGTGAAGGGGGGGAGGAAAAGAGGAGACTGACTGACACATCTGGCTTATAATTACCTTAAAATTACAGAAGCTCCTGCCTGCAGATCCTGGAGCTGTGTGACAGATAATGTCGCCCAATTATACAGAAGAGATTTTTCTCTCTGGAGGGTGATGGTAGTGGCAGTGTAAGCTCTGAGTGCCCATTTAGGGCCAATTAAGGGTTTGGGGCATCTCCCATTGCACCAGCATGGGCTGGGCTGTGCCCAATTCAAAACTCGATAACAGTGCAGTCACACCTGCTGCCCGGGCACTTGTTTGATAAGAAAAGCACCACATGGTCACTTCTCTGAGAGCTGCTCACAAACACCACAAGCAACAAAAATTAAATTATATCGTGTTTGCAGTTTCCAGCCTCCCAAGCCCAAGAAAAACAAGGGACGGTCCTATAAGGAGTTAGGGTTTTACAAAGTCCTCAAGTCTTTAGGAACAGGAAACCCTCAGCAGTTTATATTTTCAGGAGGTGGAGGGAAATCATTTGAGGCTTAATTTTGACAGATAGCTGGCATTAGAAGCAGCATCAGACACCAGGAGCCCCTGGCTCTCCTTCCTGGCCCCAGACAGCCTTTCCAAGATGATCCCAAACTGCTGCGCACAGTTACAACACCATGGATTTTATAGCAGTTAGACCAGCGTGAAATGACCCAGTCTTGTTTTTCCTGACCTGAACGATAAAAGGCATTTAGGTGATTAAATGCTAAAGACGGAAGACAGACCGAGTATGCTTTGTGCTGTCAGCAGTATGAGTTTAACACCATCATGTACCACAAATAAAAGATTTGTTTAGAAGAGTGAGCCAGATCAGTACTTAAACCCAAGCCAACACATTTTATTTATTTATTTTTTAATTTCCCCTATTAATTAGCTACCCACGGACAAAGTAACCAGCCAAACAACTCAGCCACTGTAAAACCTCCATCCCTGGGCCCTGCAGAAGTGGCCGCAGGCTGGAAAGAAAAGCAGCACGCTACGTGCTGTGCTTCATGGAGCATTGATGCGACCAGCTGCCAAAAATGAGCCATGTAATACGGTGTTACCTTGACAAACCAAATGCTAAAAGCTTAGGAATTGACTTACACAGTCCCATATCTCGGCGTCACACCCAGGAGGAAGGAGGAAACGCAGACACTGTGGCTGCAGCTCTCGGCCCTCCTGGCTCCAGGCACCCTGCGGCAGCGCACCGAGCAGCGGGGTCACCCCAACGCCACACAGGCTCCCTCCCTTCACAGGGACACAAACCTTTATCACTCCAAAAGAGCCATCACCAGCCCACAGCAGCAGCGACACCACAACACCTCCAATTGCTGCTCCCAGCAGCTTTGGGAGCGACCCAAACAAGCTGCAGCTGGGGCTGGTCCCACTGGGGCACAGCTGGGACCACAGCAGGAGCAGGACAGCAACGTGCTGGGTGGGTGATTCCCGGGCTGCTCAGCTCTTACAGGTGGCTTGGGGCTACTCCGAGCTCACTACGACGGCTGCATGCAGCGGCTGAAGAGCCAGAGGCAGCAGGAGCATGGCCAGGTCCTGGGGCCCTGGAGGCACGGGGCAGCGCTGGGCTCACGGCCCTGGTGTAAAAGGAAGCGGGTTGCATCACACCACTGCTACCCCTCGACGGAGAAACAGCTCTGGTTTGGCTGCAACAGCCTGGAAATACTAGCAGCGTGTTGAGAAATGTGCAGGAAACCCATGAAAGCAAATGGGTTTATTTTTTAATCCATCTGCTTGAGACAGAGCCTTGCTGGGATAATCTCTCTCTGAAGAAAAGGGATTTCTATCTTCCGAGGATGAAAGATTTTCTCTTCCGTGAATTAGCTTCCCTTTTCTGCAAGCATCTTTGCAGAATTATTCTCTGTGCTAAACTTAGGGAAATCTGGAGCAGAAGATCTAACTGGGAGGGAATTGCTCCTGGATTAAACTGGTGGCAGGGAGGGCCGAGGCTGTCCTAAAATACTCGAAATGCTCCATTCTCCCTGCAGAGCCTGCCCTTCCATCTCTGCCTTCATCTTCACTGTTATTGCTTTGTGGGTTTGTTTCTTTTTCACTGTCCTCTATTAATCTTCCAGAAAATCAGCTGTCTGATCGCAACTATAGAAAATTGCATTATTCCTGAACTGCCCCCCCCATCACCGCAGCACCTCGGAGAGGCCCTTTCCTGCGGTGGGTAGTTTATATCCACGGGGTGTCTTATAAGGATGAATGTCTTTTAATTAGGCACAAACTGTGCTCATTTGTGGTTATTAGAGGTGATCTGCAAATCTTTATTCAGCAAATAATAGCCTCTCACAGGCAACTTAATTGTAATATCACACCCAGTGAGCCAGAGCAGGCTCTGCGAGCAGCAAGTCGGTGTCAAGCAGATAGCTGCTAGGAAGAAACCTGGCCCAGTGCTGTTCCTTTGTTTGCTGCTTTCTTCCCCCAGTGTAGAAAGGCAAAAACACTGGAAACAGATGCGTGCCTTTACTTCTTATTGGCACAAATTAATAGCCAGCAGGGGAAAACGAAAGCCCTAATGTTGCAAAAGAAAAGTGAAACTGTGCATGTACACAGGTATATTTATGTGTGTGCAATGAAATATTTTGCAATCAGACTGTGTGGGAAGGCACACCGAAGGCTTGAAGAAGTGGGAAGGGGAGATGAGAAGAGGCAGGAGGGCAGCTCTCCTGTGCTCTGCTTGGCCCTGGCTGGGCCCGTGCAGACAAGACCCGTGTGCATTTCAGCTATTGCCCCATCTGTATTATCAATTTATAGTGCATTTGTCTTTTGAACGAGGCTGCTGTGTTTCTCAGCCTTTGTTGCCACTGCTTCAAACTACACCCAACGCTTCGCACGAAGCCTGCAACTGCCCTGCGCTTTGTATCTCACCTCTCCCCTGCAGCTTTTCCTTTTTGATTTTTTTCCATGCTCTGTGCATATGACAGATGGGATAAATGTTCACAGAACAAAGCAGAGAGCGCTCTGCAGTCAAGTGGGATCAGGCTCCCCACGTTTGGGGTGGGTTTCTGTCAGACAGAGTAAAACAGCAGCATTTAGCTGAGGACTAGGCAGGCAGACTCGAGCTTTTGTCCCTGCCCCAGGGACATTCTGCACCCGCTGCCTACACAGCCCAAAGAAAGGGGCAGGAGGAGGCAGCCTCGGGATGTGGTTCCAGCGTCTCCATGGACTGTGCTGATGCAGGGAAGGAGGAGAGCAGGAGCAGGTCCCCAGCAGAGCCTGGGGCTGCAGCTCTCAGCCAGGGCGGGGAGCTCCCGGCTATAAAACCCCGCACGGGCAGCGCTCAGCGGCAGCTGCTGGCACACGGCCTGCTGCGCTCCCTGGGGACGCTTGGACACCGCTCACCTGCCTCCCTCACCACGCCTGGAATGAAAAGGCCAAAGGGATGCATTTTCCAGTACTTTTACTGCACTAAAAAGAAGCAACAAAGAGGATTCCTCTTTGTTACCAGCACAAGGGAAAGAGGTGAACGGAGAGATGAGCAACCCAGGGAGAAACAGGGATTTGGGAACGTGTAGTGCAGCAGAGAGAGGGATCAGAGGCTGAGCTGGGGCTTCTGCATCCCTTTGTTTAACAGGAAAACCTGCACGGAGCAGACCAGCAAAGAGGGGACCTGCAACCACGCAGCACAGGGTGACAACCAGCGCAAGAGGTGACAACCTGTGCCCGTGGTGGGGGACTGCTGCAGAAGCCACATCCAGCCCCTGCGGCCACAGGAGCTGGTGCAGCAGGGCTCGGGGGGAGAGCGCAGCCCCCAGGGATGCAGGGAGGGGTTAAAGGGCTGCCAGAGCCGAGCGTCTGAGCGTTCACCCATCACAGTCACAGCTCCTCCTGCGGGGATGGAGCTGGGCTGGGGCTGGAACAGCTCCCATCGTGGCCAGGCTGGGCACAGCAAGGGGGTGCAGAGCCCCCAGACCCTGGTGGGGGACACCAACGTGACCCTGCTGCACAGCCGGGACGAGGAGCTGGCCAAGGCAGAGGTCGGGGTGCTGGCCACCATCCTGGTGGTGGCAACCGTGGGCAACGCGGGGGTGCTGCTGGCCCTGTACCGGCCTGAGGAGGAAGATGAGCCGCATGCACCTCTTCGTCCTGCACCTGGGGCTGAGCGACCTGGGCGTCGCGCTCTTCCAGGTGCTGCCGCAGATGATCTGGGAGGTGACAGTACCGCTTCCTGGGGCCAGACCCTCTCTGCAGGGCCGTCAAGTACCTGCAGGTGCTGAGCATGTTCGCCTCCACCTACATGCTCCTCGCCATGACCCTGGACCGCTACGTGGCCGTGTGCCACCCGCTGCGCACCCTGCAGCAGCCCAGCCGCCGGGCTTATGCCATGATCGGGGCCACGTGGCTGCTCAGCTCCCTGCTCAGCCTGCCCCAGGTCTTCATCTTCTCCCTGCGCGAGGTCCGGCAGGGCTCGGGGGTGCTGGACTGCTGGGCGGACTTCAGGTACCCGTGGGGCGCCCGAGCCTACATCACCTGGACCACGCTGTGCATCTTCATCCTGCCCGTCGGCATCCTCACCGTCTGCTACAGCCTCATCTGCTACGAGATCTGCAAGAACCTCAAGGGCAAGACCCAGAGCTGTGCCCCCAGCATGGGGGGACCCACAGCAGCCCCCCCAGCTCCCTGCTCCTCCGAGAAGGGCGGGCAGTGCCCTGGTGGGCAGCCCTCGCGCGTCAGCAGCGTGCGCACCATCTCGCGGGCCAAGATCCGCACGGTGAAGATGACTTTTGTCATCGTGGTGGCCTACGTCGCCTGCTGGGCGCCCTTCTTCAGCATGCAGATGTGGTCGGTGTGGGACGAGGATGCTCCCGATGATGGTGAGTAGCCAGGGTGGGGGTGCTGGGCTGCAGCAAGCAGGATCCAGCTTATTTTCTTGTAATAAAAATTAGAGGGAAAGCTACTGTTTTGCTCCCTGATAGCATTTGTAGCAAACAGCTTGCAGAGCCAGAACGCTGCTTTTCACCAGAAATTCTGCTGGAAAGCAATGGCTTCTGACCAGCAGCCCATGGGAGACATGGAGGTGTTCTGCAAACGTCTTAACCATGTGCGTCTCTGCCCTCCTGGGGGAATCTGCTCCAGGAGTTGCTGTGCTGTTCAGCATGTGATGGCAGAGAGGATTTAATTGAGCCTGCTGCTCCCAGCCTCCAGGAGCAGCTGTGCTGCTGGAGCTGCTCCCTGCCTGTAGCATCCAGCACCCGTAAGGCTTTTGCTGAGCCAGATGCGGGGGGGAGGTGTGGGGTGTGAGGGTTGAAAAGTGGATTTTGATTTCATAAGTTGACCTTATTTTATTATTATTTTCTGGGGGCATTATCCCAGATTGAAAGGCCCCTGGGAGATGCTTTGGCCAACTGGGGCTGAGGGAAAGCAGCAGGTCCAGGAGCTGCCGGGTGCCATTCCCAGCACCCGCCCCCAGGATGTGCTCTGGCACGTCCTGATCCTGCTCTGCAGCAAAGAGATGCCAGCGGGCGGGCTGGGGATGGGACAAGGGACACATATCCAAGCCAGGAAGAGACCCTAAAGTCCTGTGCATGGCCCACCAAGCCCCCTGCCCACACCACGTCCCCTCTGGGGTATATTTGAACTTTCTGCCTTGTCCTTCCTAGAGTCCACCAACGTGCCCTTCACCATCACCATGCTGCTGGCCAGCCTCAGCAGCTGCTGCAACCCCTGGATTTACATGTTCTTCAGCGGGCACCTGCTGCGGGACGTGGGGCGCTGCCTCTCCTGCTGGTGCAGCCCCCAGCCACGCAGGCAGGTCTCCAACGGGAGCCTCTGCAGCAGGAAAACCACCGTCCTGAGCCCCAGCCAGCACGGCAGCCTCCCCCTGCGTGGGGGCAGCTCCAGGGACCTCGACCTGCCCGAGGAGGAGGCGGTGACCGAGTCGGGCACGCTCTAGGCTGTTGTTTTTGCTGGAAGCTGGGTGCTTAACCCTGGAAAGTATCACTGGGTGTCTTGTCTTTGTGGGCTCGCTGCTGCATGTGCTGCATGCCGCGGGGGATGGACAGAGCCCCAACAGCCCCAGAGCAGCCTTCACCTCCCTTGTGTGCCATAAAGCCTCCTGCTGCCCAGCCCAGGCATCCTGGGGATGCTGAATCAGCGTGGCTTTTAGGACAGACTTGAGCTCGAGGGGCTTGGCAGATGCCAGAAAAGCAGCCTGAGCACAGCAGGAGGCAGTGCAGCTGCCTGGGAGCTCCCTGCCCATCTCCCATCCTCAGGGCTTTGCTGGGGGAGCAGCTGACACAGCTTCCCCACGCCCTGCATGCGTCCCCAGGGCTGCAGCACACACAGCTGCTGCATTGCACTGACCCCTGCAGCATTGCACCCAGGTGCAAGCACCCCAAATGCGGCACAGACACTGCTGAGGAGCTGCTCAGAGGAGCCCTGGCCCTTTTCCAGCTCGCCCAGGCAGATCCTGCCTCCCTCCCACCAGGTTCACCCTTCCTGTATCACCAGCCACTGTGCGGGGCTGCTCTGTGCTGTTACAAAGCTGCTGCATCTCATTAAAGAGCTGCTCTCAAATCGCTGTTGCTGCTTTTTTTGTCTTGTGCAGCCAGGATCAGAGTGCCAAAACCACCCAGGGCTCGGGGACAGCCTCAGAGCACCCCAACAGTGCTGGGAGCACAGAGGGGCAGCTGGGAACAGCCACAGCCTTACGGCCCCAGCCCCTCTCCCTGCTTGCTGTGGGTCCCCCTGGAAAAAAATTGTTTAAAAGCAAAACCTCAGTGAGGCTGCACAGAGCATCCCCACGCTCTGGGGCTCAGCAGCACTGCTGGGGGATGTACAGGTGCCCCAAGGGCAGGGTACCAAATTCCCTGCGAGAAAGATGCATCACTCCCTCCACCACCACAGGCTGAATCTACAAAAATAAGGCATTAGAAGTAAGCTGTAGTGCAAAAGCTTTCAGATTTCAAAATCATAAAGCATATGAATCATTTTTTCCAGCAGCTCCCCCAGCTGGCTTTGGCCTCACCCCTAACTCCACAAACCCATTTCTGCCGGGCTTCAGCAGCACTTCCCAGGAACTGGGTGGGATTTGAACCTCTTTCTCCACAAAACCTCTGAGCTGGGCTGGTTCTGCACAGCAAGGCCATACAGACAGAGGGCCTGACCCCAGAGCCCACCACCAGCAGCACCAAACAGTCAGCTCACAGTTCCTGTAGGACAGGGGGCTTTGACTTGCCTGTGCTCCTACAGACAGCCATGGCCCAGTCCCACAGCTCTCACAGCCCCAAGGGAGCAGCAGCCAGGCCCTGCCCTAGCAGAGGGGATTTAAATCCCCCAGGAGCCCCCAGCCCAGCCAGCTCTGCTGATGCTCACGGCTTTCAGCTGGGAGAGGCGACAGCTGAACCTCCCCAGAGCCAGCTCCAAGGGATGGGGGCTCCGAGAGGTTTTCAGCGTGGAAGGAAAATGGGGTGCAGCGGAGGAGGAGGGATCGGTGCTTGGGCAGGAAGGGTGAAGCCGGTGGAGGAAGTGTATTTAGAGGATTTTATGACAGCAATCAGCAAAGGAAGCATGATTCAAAGGAGATGCTAGTCAGTTCAGGTGGATGTTTTGGAAATGACGGCGTCTTCCTGCCTGAACAACGTCCCATGGGGGAGCGGGAATTCATTTGCTTTCAGGAGACGAGAAATCCGGCCTTCAAGTACAAGTGCAGAGCACGTCTCGGTCTGGGGAGGGAACATTTCCCTGCAGCAGGGTGTGGGGCAGCCCCGCACCGCCCCACATCCGCAGCCCCGGGGGGCGGTGGTGCCGACAGTACAGCACCACGCAAATCTCTTGGTGGGCTGCAGCATCTCAGGGGATAAAAACCAGTAGGCTTCAGCCCATGCCAGCTCTGATCAGGGCGGTGGGAAGGGAAATCCCTGGCTGCTCAGCTGCCGGGGGCTGCAGGCACCCAGGGGCAGCGGCAGCGGGACCCCGATGGCACCTCCACAGCCCCCAGGGGTGTCCCGGGAGTCACAGCTTCACCTCCGTGTACTCGATGGATTTGGAGGCAACAGGGCTGGAGCAGGCCCAGAAATCCACTTTCTTCTTCTTTGGGTCCACGTTGACGTAGTCTGCGCCCGGCTTCATGTTCTCGTAGTCCCTGGCGGAGCCCGGCCCGTGGCCCTTCCCCGGGAAGAGCAGGGACGTGTAATTGAGGTTTTCTGGTGACCGAGGGCCCTGAGGAAGCAGCCACAAGCCCTGGGTCAGGCACCGACCCCCCCGAGGTGCCTTAGCCCTGTCTGTGCCCCAACACCCCCTGCCCATGGGGACATTTCCCTCTGAGCACTGCACGAGGCAGGTGACAGCCACCACGTTGGTGCCATCGGTTATTTCAACGCATTCACCCTCATTTTACTGCTCAGGGGGTCTCGAGCAGGGCCAGGAGCCCCTGGACATGGTGTGAGGCACCCTCCCTGCCGCGGTTGTGGTGGTTTTGGGCAAAAATGCCCTGGCGGTGGCAGGGGGCTGGGTACCTGCGGGCTGGAGGGGCTGCTCTCCGACTCCTCCGAGGTCTCCGAGGACGTCTCGCTGCTCCCATCCGAACAGGGCACGTCACCACCTCCGCGGTTAGTGGAGGTTCAAGGGGAGAAAAAGCAATTAGACAACAGCAGGCGAGAGGGAAGAAAGCTTCCTTCCTGCCCCTCTGGGCTTCCTGCAGTCAGCGGGGGCACTCGCCCAGTCCCCAGCCCACGGCTGGCTCCCACCTCTGCCCTGCGGTGCCACCAGCGAGACCAGGGGTCCCTGGGGAATGATGCAGGGAAAACCCAGAGGCAGCAGGAGATATCCCGAACTCTGAGCAGCTGCTGTGCCTGCCCCATGCTCCTGGCTCCATCCATCACATCAGCACGCCGAGGTGCCAGGCTGGGCAGCCCAGGATGGACACGATGCGCACCCCTGCCACCCCGCAGCCCCCCTCACCTGCGTAGGCCGGTCGTTGTGCCCCTTCCCCTCCAGCTGAAGAGGTCGACGGCTGCTGGGGCTGTGCTGCAGGACGGCTGCTCACCTCCTTGCTGCAGGAGCGGCTGTCTGCGGTGAGGGAATGCTCAGCTCCATGCTCCAGACCCCTGTCTGCTGCATCCCCCCCTGTCCCTGGTCCCCTTTTGGGTGTTTTCTCTCTCCAGTTCTCTCCCCGTCCCCTCCCCTGCTCCCAAAGCCCGGGCTGCCCTGGAGCAAAGCCAGCGCGCCGCGAGCCCTGGCACAGCAGTAATTATTATTTTGTATTGGCGTGGGCAAATATCTGTCAATTCAATTACTGCGCTGATGGAGTGCTTCCCCTGCTCTCCTGCGATGGAAGACTGGAGTTAAATCGCTGCATCAAGGACTCTCCCCACACAAGGTCAAAATGGGTTTGACCCACGGGGCCAGGCAGAGCGCACATTGTGCATAATGTGGGCAGCATTTCTGTGAGAAAGCTTTTCCTGCTGGAACTCATAGCTCCATCTGGACTAGGAGTTTGCAAATTGATTCTGATGCTGTTTTCCCACCACATAACTAACCAGAGCAATAAAAGAAAATGTTTTTGGACTGGCGTGGCGTTCTGGGCTGTACAAGCCAGGCACGTGTTGCTCAGCCCTGCCTTAACTTGATTCAGCCCCGTATCAGTGCCAAAGCCGGGCACGGGGTCTGGTGGGAGTGAGAGCAAGAACCAGAACCAGGACACCAACCTGGCCGTGGTTTAGAAACAGGGGGTGTCAAGGCTTTGGGCAAATCCCTTTCACTCTCTGGGCTGAAGGATTGCAAGGAGGAAAGAGGGACACAAGGGGTAAAGGCAACAAGGCAGTACGTTACCTATTTTCCTGCTGAGCATGATGTAAAGGAGCAGTAAGAGCAGAGCGTATAGGACCAGGGCTACAGCCGAGGTGACAACAGGCACCCACCTGAATGGGAGAAAAATATTTTGCCTAAATGAAAGGAATATTTGAATTATTTTAAATCTGTCAGGAACAGTTTGGCTGACATGGCTTCAAAGCATGCTTTAGATCACGGTTTGCTGGTACAGTTTTTGGGTTTGCTTTTTTTTTTTTTTTTTTCTTTCTTTCTTTAAGGAGAATGTGCCCAAAAAGCTGGGGCTTCATTTTCAGAAATGACCAGTGGTCCTTGCACTTCATTTTTGGGTTCAAAACCACCTTGAGAAGGGGTTTTGAAAACCCATCTCACGGTGCTTTCCGCAGACCCAAAGCTGCGAACATGGCTTCCACCACGCGCTCAACCAAAATCGCAAGCAGTCGCTGAGCCTCAGGGCTGCATTTCTGCCCGGCACGGCCCTGCAGGGAGCACTGAGCTGCCCCAGCAGAGGCAGGAACCAGGCACAGCATCGCCAGCCCCATGGCCGAAGCATCCCTGTGCGCACGGCCACTTCTGTGCACACAGACCAGACCCAGCCTAGGGCTGAGAATTTAGCAGAAAGGTGCCCTGTAGCAGCACTTATCCTCCAGTTCTAGAGTATTTACCTTGCTGCAGGGCTGAAAAAGGCTGCATTTGTCTCAGTACTCACCACTCACAATTGGCCATCCCTGCTGCGAGGCGTCCCGGCCGTCAGTGCAGCGCCCGAGGTTCCTGTGGGGCAGAGAGGGGCAGGTGGGCCGTGGGTCCGGGTGGGTGCTGAGACACCAAATCCAGGCCTTGCAATCCACATCACCCCACGGAGCTCCACGCTGCTCCCTGCCAGCTGAGATTGGAGCTGCTGTTTGAAATCAGGGGTCTGACGCCGCAGAGCGCTCACATAAAATACATGTGCCAAGGTTCCCGCTGCACAAGTATGCTACTGTGTGTGTGATTCCTCCTCATTTTATTTTTTTTTATCCACCAAAATATTTGATAACTATAATGTAAAAAAAATATTAAAAAATATGTGCCACAATGGGAAAAATTAATCGAAAGAAGGCGCGAGTTTGGTGCTGGCTCTTGCAGCAGATTAGCCTTAATGATAGGATTGACAGACTGATAGATCGATTGCTCAAGCAGAGGCACTGTCCACACTACGGACCAGATTCTGCTTTCCCTTAAGACATATTTCTAAGAGTAACAAATCAGAAACTTTTCCAAAAGCCTCACCAGCCCCCTGTGAAATTCCACTTACCAACCACTTTGGCAACCGCCAAGCTAGAAGTCCATTTCTTGCTGGATTTTTCCCCCTCCCTCATTGAACTGATCTGTCCTCAAATATCCTCCTCGAGCAGCTATCATTTTTGAGTGGCTCATTTCCTACTGTGGTGCAGGAGATGCTGCAGCAGCAGATAACAATCTGAAAAGTGAGCTGTTCAAAAGGAAATTGCAAAACAGGACCCAAATCCAAATATCAGTCGCAGGCAGCGTCTTTGCTGCGATGGGGTACAGTGAGATGGAGGAGATTACACACACACATGTGCACTGAAATACCTAGTTTGAAGATAACAGCTAGTGAGCCGCTGGCAGCACATGTACTTTTTTGGTGTATCAGGTGGCTGTGAGCCTCCCTCCTGCCAGCCCCCGGGATTTTAACCCTATCTTAATTAAGATGCCCTATTGCAATCAAAGCTCTTAGAGCGCTCGTACTCGGCTGATGACTGAGTAGTGAATTCAAGACATCTAAGCTCAACCTAAAGGTAAGATGAACTCGTGGGAATGCCTCAGATGACTTCAAACCCATTGAAGATGGGCCTTGGTGCCTGGGTTTAACGCTGAAGCTTGGGCAGGTAGTGCTGGGGCACCACCACACTGAGCCCAGCCCCGCGAGCTCTTCGCTTCCCCCAGCACCACCTGCAGGAGCCCAGGGCACCCAATGCCCGTCGGTGTTTTACCTCGAGAAAAGCCATCCTCACCTTCGTCCTCCACAGCCCTGGACGGAGCAGACCTCAGGGACGTTTTGGGAGCATTTTTGGCCAGGGTCTCCCAGCCTCCGGCAGCGCCGTGCAGAAGCTCTCGCTGGCTCAGGCGCCGGATGCGGTCTTGCTTTACCCCTAATGGTGATTGCAGAAAGGAGCCCACACTGGGTTCCATGACGCTTCCCACATGTGATCAGGCTCATTTAAATTTTTTGGGGTGTTTCTCTGCTGTTGGGCAGCCCCCTCTGCCCCCGGACTGGGGATGCTGCAGCCCCTGAGCTGGTGATGCCCTGGTCCCCAGAGGGACTCAGCCCCCAGCCGTGCAGCTGGCACAAAAAGCTCTCTGTGTGCTCCCACCTCGCAGCCTTCTATGGGGCAAAACATTTTAAATCAGAAGGGACATGGGGCCCAACGCCTGCCGCGGTTTTGTGCCTGCTGGGGTGTGAAAAGGGGAATGGAGGAAGGGATTTGCTGGAGGAAAAGAGGAACTGAAGGTAAGGGCCATGCATTTCTGGCAGCACCAACGCAAGGAGCCAACGTTGGTCTGTGAGGAGATGGCAGGAGGGGATGGAGGGTGGCTCCAGAAATATCTGTGAGCCCCGTGACTTTCTACAAGCAAGGACGTGGAGGATGAGATGGGCTCTCAGGAATCGCTGGGTGCCCTGGGCTGCCTGGCACCATTGGGATTCACCCCCTCAGCCATGGGGCTGCTGCTCCATCCACAGATGCTGCTGCCGTGGGTAAATACTTAACTGAAGTTTGCTTGTGTTTATTTTTTTTAGAGAGTCTGCTATTACAGCATTTCACCCTTTCAAGTGCTCTTTGATACACAGGCAGATAAACAGGTAGGAGATGTATTTGATAATCAGAGAAAAAAGGCTTTTCAGCAAATGATGCTTGGGTGAGATTTGAATCAGTCGCAGCTAATAGTGGAAGCGGCTAAACTAAAGGAAATATAAAAAAAGAACACAGATAACCTATTTTTAGCTTAAGAGCAGTTTTCTTAAAATGAGTAAAATGCCATGCGCTGAGCTGATGGGAATCATGTTTTCCACCTAAGGCGCACAGATTATTTGTGACCTCTCTGAAGGCGAGCACAGAAAGCTGGATGGGCTACAGGGCTTTTTGTGAGAGCCTCTGCCACTGCAGGACTATAAGGCCAGATATTTCTCATGAGACCAGGGGTGCTCCCATAGCCAGCAGCTACATTTCGTTCCATTTCTACCAAATACAAGCTGTTGCTCTCTTGTTTTTCTGACAACACGATCCAGAGGTCCCAGCCTCATCCCTCATCCCACGGGAGCACCCATGGGCTCCCAGTCCATGGGGACAGCTGGGCAGAGAAAGCGCTGGAAGCACGTACGAAGCCAGGCCTTTTTGCCCACAAATATGGCAAAGTCTTGCTCTGACTTCCAAAAGACGGAAAAAAATAATACATTATCTTCAATTTGAAATAGATCTTTTAACATTAAGAGCGTGGCTTTTAAAAGAGCTAAATAAAAGTAGAAATAGCTTGGTTTAACTTCAAACATTTCTAACCAAAAGGTTTGGCCTCTTTATTTCTTTCATTTTCGTATTTTAATACTGAATCTACTGTCCCGAGTTTGCAGATTATTTTGATCCAGCTGGGGATCTTTTCCAGTAAATAAGCTGTTTCACTTGAAGTATTCAGCGTGTCTGTACTACAGCTCCTACCCACACTTATCTTGGAAACCCGATGACCCTTCGGGCTAGATTTTATTGCGGGATTTTCACTGTATAAGCCATGTCTGTAGCAATCAAATTGCCGCTGTCTCGCCTCAGCTGCAGATGGCTTTCAGCTGATCTGGCATTTGGTACAATTGTTTTCCTTTTGGGAAGGTTTTTTAATCCCCTTTTATGAATATATTATTAGCCGAAGGGAGGCCGGTGCTTTAAACTGTATCTCGAGTGTGAAATGGAAAATAACTTTGTGTGGAAGCTGCTTGGTACAAACACTGCAACGGCGAGTCTGGGTGTAGGGACACGGGAAATTTGCTCGTGACTTGGAAACCCAGCCTGGTGCGAGGGAAAACAGCCCCATTGCCCATCACTCTGCTCCGCATGCCTCTAAGGGGATGTTTTAAGCCCAAGCTCCCTGCGAGGCCTCGGGGTGGAGGAGCCCAACTGCAGCTCTGGGACACCCACAGCAGGAGCAGGGTGAGACCCCAGGAAGGGGAGACAGCGATTCAGCTCTTTTCGGGGTTTTTCACCCCATTAGACAGCGTGCTGGGCATTTCAGGTGGCCACACCAGGCGGACTGACCCCCAGTGCCAGTCACTTTCCCAGGGCAAGGACATCAATTAAATAAGGTGGACTAACCAGGATGAATGGAAAACTGATTAAGGGCAGGAGCAGTGTTAATTACACGAACGCTACTCACTGAGTAAGGCACCTCTCCTTGCGGCATCCATCATCATTACTGCCGTGCCACAAACCACCCCGAGGAGCACAAAGCATCAGCAGCAGCCTCCAGCCGCCTGCCGGGGAGATTGCGGCACCAAGAAAGTCCTCGCCTCCCCCGCTCGCCTCCCTGGTATCTGAAGGCTCTGTTTGTTCATTAGCCTTCTTTATTTGCATCCGCAGAGGCTTAATGAGACGGCTCTGCAGTGTTAAACAGAAAGCAGCCACGGAGGAAGAGCCCATTAGGGGCGGTCAGGCAATGTGTAACTGTCTCTAACAGAGCAGCTCCTTCCAAGGGCCGTGCTTTGGTGACACCGGCTCTGTGTGAACAGCAAAGGTGCAGATTCCTGAGCAGTTCATCAAGGCTAATTAGCTCTTTGCCTTTTAAGGCTAGTTCAGCAGCTGCCGGGTGCCACCAGCACATCCCTTTCCTGCAGCCCTCGGGCCGGGTTCCTGCACCACTGCTGGTCCGGATGCAGCTCCAATCCTCACCCAGGTGGGGATTTGGGATGGGGGGGAAAAACCTCTCGTTTTCCCTGTGGGGTCCCAGCGGGGTCCCCTCCGCCCCCCTTGGCCACCCCATCACCCAGGGTGTCCCGCAGCCCCGCGGGCCGCCGCCAGCCCCTCGCCCTCCAAAACAAACTGGTGCCCAGCGCGCTCGCTCTGCCTTGACCGGAACGTGCCCAGTGATTCATTTCTAAAGCAAAAGCCCGGTGTTGACATTGAGAGGGGTGTTATCGCTGATACCGCGGGGCGAGGGTGTACCTGTTGGTATAAGAGCCACGCCGCTGTGCAGCCCGCACCCGCAGAGCCCCGCCGAGGCCAGCGCCGCCGCCATGAAGCGCCTCTTCTTCCTCGCTGCGCTCTGCCTCGCCCTGGGCAGTGGCTTGAAGAGGTAAGGGGGGACCCCAGGGTGCTGGGGTGCTCACAGAGGGGCTTCAACACCATCAATGAGTGGGGCAAGGGCTCACAGGTAGGGCTGACCCACCTTGTGCAGGCACCAGAGGCTCTCTGGGGGCACCTCCACCCCCAGGGTGACCCCCAGCAGGGCTGCAGGGGGTGGGCAGGGTTGGGGGGCAGCCCAAGGAGCCGGAGCAGCAAACGCCAGCGTGAATTAACCGTGCTCCACTCCCCCTCTGCCACGGGGGAGGCAGGGAAGTGGCTGGGAACCTGCGTCCTGATGGCACTGGGATGCTCGGGGTGGATTTGGGGGCTGCAAGGCATCAGCAGCCCGCAGCCAGCCCCATACCCAAAGGGACATCCCCAGTGACAAGGACCTCGCTCCCCCAGGGTGACCCTGACGCGGCACCGCTCGCTGCGGAAGACACTGCGGGACCGCGGGCAGCTCTCCCAGTTCTGGAAAGCCCACAAGCTCGACATGGTCCAGTACAGCGAGGATTGCTCTGCCTTCACGGCGGCCAACGAGCCCCTCATCAACTACCTGGACGTAAGTGCGGTGCCGGTGGCAGCACCGAGGGCTGCCCCGCCAACACCCGAGGCACCTTGTGCTGCACGAAGCATCCCGACCACCCAAATTCTTCCTGTAAAGCCCACGCCTGTTATCAGAGCAAGCCTGGGGACTGCACCAGTGTGCCAGGGCTGGTGCCTGCCTGCTCCTGGCCGGGCCTTTGCTCCTGCAGCCGCGATGCTGAGCACAGGCAAGGGAGCACGTTCATCGCAGCCAACCCACTCCCTGCCTGCTCCGTGTCCAAGGCTGGGGGGACCAGGTTCCCTCCCAGGTTAACACACGTGGCACACATCTGAGAAGGCCTCACCACAGGGAGCCCATGGGAAGGGGCACGGGGGGTCCCCCAGACTCTTCCCACTCCCCAGCAGAGCGAGGTTTCTGCCCCCAGAGCCCCGGCTGCTGTTTGCATCCCCATGGTGAGGGTCCCCTCGGGGCCTGGCCCTGCTGCCCGACCCCGCAGGAAGAGGCTCACGCCCACACCCGCTGTCCTGCCTTTGTTCTCAGCTTGCCTTGTAGTTCCTAAAATATTTGCCTCCCTTATTTCACCTGGCGTGATGCAGCTGTGGCAGATAAACGCTGCCCCGGTGCCAGCCATCCCACGCATGAACCCAATCCGTGCTGTGCATCCTGGCACAGCCCCCCTCTGCCAGGACCTCCTGCAGCACTGACAGCCGCCCTCAGTCTCTGCTCTGCCTTTGCTAGATGGAGTACTTCGGGCAGATTTCCATCGGGACCCCTCCCCAGAACTTCACGGTGGTTTTCGACACGGGCTCCTCCAACCTCTGGGTGCCGTCCATCTACTGCACCAGCAAAGCTTGCAGTGAGTAGGGGCTCCCCAAAACAGCCAGTGGTGGTGGGACCCCGGGTGTCCCCTCCAGGGTGGCCACGGGGTCCAGCCAGCACCAAGGGCACAGGGACCACCACTGGGGCCACCTCCCTGCCCAGCCTGAAGCCCCCAGCTGGGCTGAGCCCCCCCGGGCAGTCTAGGATAAAAGAGGTGCTGCATTTGTGTTTGGTTTGGAGCTGCAGCCAGAGGGGAGAGGCAGCAGGGACAGGAGCAGTGTGGGTTTGTTTGCTCGCCAGCACAGGCGGCGATCACACCACCAGGACCCGGTACCATCAGCCCGCGGGAGATATCGGCCGTGCTCTTTAGGCCTTTCTTGTGGGAGAGCCTTTAAGCAAACAAGGCGAGATTATAGCGCATAATGCAGACGGTCAGCAAGGAGCTGGCTGCAGGAACAAGGCGGGCACAGAGGCCACGGCACGGCTCCGGGCTGGCTGCCCGGGGGTCGGGCGGGTGACAAGCACCGCGCTTGTTCGGGCTGCCGGCGAGGAGCTGAGCCCAGCTGGGGTGCACGGCGTGGGGCACATCCCGGAGCCAGCCCTTCTCTGTGCCCTGCTCCCAGCACAGCCCAACGGGGGTCAGGGAAAAAAAGCCAGGAACAGCAGTGCCCGCGGTGATGGGCTGGGAGAATCGCTGCTGCCTGTGGGGTGGGAACGGGAGTGGTGATCATCGGGTCTCACAACAACATCGCACGAGTTAATCCTTGGCAAACCTCCCGCCATTCGGGCAGCTTGCCCTTATCCCTCCCCAAAACAACCCCAGCACGTCCACGTTCCTCGTGAGCCGCTCTCTCCTGCGGCAGCCCCCAAGGAGCAGGCTTTGGGGTTTGCCCTGGGGCCATGGCACGGCGCTGCTGCTCACGGCCCCGTCCTCCCCCAGCCGAGCACGCCAGGTTCCAGCCGTCGCGCTCCAGCACGTACCAGCCCGTGGGCATCCCCTTCTCCATCCAGTACGGGACCGGCAGCTTGACGGGGGTCATCGGGTCTGACCAAGTCACCGTGAGTCACGCTCGGTTTCTCCCGCTCCGGGTAATTTGCCCGGGACTCCCCTGGGGCCGGGGAGCCGGCAGCGAGCCTCGTCCTTCCCGCAGGTGGAGGGCCTGACCGTGACGAACCAGCAGTTCGCAGAGAGCGTCAGCGAGCCGGGCAAAACCTTCCTGGATGCCGAATTCGACGGGATCCTGGGGCTGGCCTACCCGGCCCTGGCCGTGGACGGGGTCACCCCCGTCTTCGACAACATGATGGCCCAAAACCTGGTGGAGCTGCCCATGTTCTCGGTCTACATGAGCTCGTAAGGGCACGGCGCTGCTGCGGGGCAGGGCTGTGGCTCGAGGGGCTGATAAGGACGTTACACTGAGCTAGCAAGGAGGGTTTCTTAAGCATGCTGCAGAGCTCAGACCTTACAGGAGCAAAGCCAATGCCCCTGAGCATTTGTGGGAAGCAAGCGGGCATAAATCCATCAGTATAAAATGCAATGTGGGAAGTGAAAGGGAAGAAATCCCTCACGTCCCCTCCTGCCCCCAGGAACCCGGACTCCTCCCTGGGCGGAGAGCTGCTCTTCGGGGGCTTTGATCCCTCTCGCTTCACGGGGACCCTGAACTGGGTGCCGGTCACGCAGCAGGGCTACTGGCAGATCCAGCTGGACAAGTGAGTGGGGCCGGGGCCAGGAGGGCTTGGACAGGCTGCTGGGGCAGGGCACGGGTCCTGCACGGAGCTCCTCACCCCTCCTGCCTCCTGCTGCAGCGTGCAGGTGGGTGGCACCGTGGCGTTCTGCAAGGACAGCTGCCAGGCCATCGTGGACACCGGGACGTCGCTCCTCACTGGCCCTACCAAGGACATAAAGGAGCTGCAGAAATACATCGGAGCCACGCCTGTGGATGGAGAGGTGAGGGCGAGGGGGGTCGGGCAGGGGGAAAAGCCCAGGGGCTGGCTGTCCCTCTGCGAGAGACCCCTGCTGAGGAGCATCCATGGGTGAAATAGTTCAAGGGACCCCTGGGAGGTGGCACTGCTCGTGCGGGGCTGTGGGGCTGGGGCAGCCCCGAGGAGGTGCCAGCGGTCCCCGCAGAGCTCCCAGCGCTCGCTGCTGCTGCTGCCAGGAGCAATGCGTTCCCCACGATAACATCAGGGTACCGGCTGCTGGGGAGGGCACATGTGATGCTGCCGGCTTCCAGCGCCAGCAGCTCGCTGTGGCGGGGCTCGGGGGCAGCGTCTGTCCCTGCCGTGGGGTCAGAGCCGCCCCCGCCGCTTGGCAGTACGCCGTGGAGTGCAGCAACCTGAACGTGATGCCCGACGTGACCTTCACCATCAACGGGCTCCCCTACACGCTCACCTCCCAAGCCTACACCCTCATGGTACGTCCCCAGGCCCACCCCCAGCTCCCACCCGATCAGAAATCCCCGTTCCTGCCCCAAATCGGGTGGGCTCGGGGCCGGCCTCAGCTCTGCAGCTTCTCCTCCCCACAGGAGTACAGCGACGGCATGGCCTTCTGCACCAGCGGCTTCCAAGGCATGGACGTCGCCCCTCCTGCCGGCCCCCTCTGGATTTTGGGCGATGTTTTCATCCGACAGTTTTACTCTGTCTTCGACCGTGGCAATAACCGGGTGGGGTTGGCGCCCGCTGCCCCTTAGGGCCGTGCATCCCTCGGGGTGGGAGCGAAGCGGAGCCACGGCCACTGCCTCGGGCCGGGCAAGGAGCACGCACCGGGGGCCCTGGGGGCATGGAGACACCCCGGGGCCTCGGCTGCAGGGCACTCAAAGGTCCGGTCCATGCCAGGGAGCGGTTTGATGGCGAGTATAAAGACGTCCTGAGCAGCTCTGTGAAATCTGCTTGCGGATTCTCCTTTTTTTAAACACGGGTCAATAAATGCTTGAATGAAACAAACCCCGTTGTTCTCATGGTGCAAGTCGTGCAGCAGCAATCCTGCAGGCCCCAGCCAGCGGTGCTGGTGCCAGCCCCATGCACAGGGGTGCTGAACCCCCCCAGCCCCTGCCCTCCTCCCTGGAGAGCTGCAGGCTCGGGGCACCGGCTGCTGAGGGCTCCTTGGTGGTGCAGGAGGTGCTGCTGTCCCTCCACAAGCCTTTGATCTCAAAGACCCACCTTTGTGGTCTGTAGCTGGGAGTTCTGCAGGGACAGAAGTGGGAAATTTGCCCAGGCAGAGCAGAAAGCCCCCGGAGGGGGCCCTGTACAGCCCATGGCTGTGGGCAGGGCAGGGGCTGGGGGAGCAGCTGGGTGGGTGCAGAGAGTTCACAGAGAAAATGCCTGGCTTCAGCAGGCTGAGCCCATGCCAATGAACAAGGAGATAATTATGAGCCTGAAGAGACCCTGGGGCTCTTTCTGTGCCGCAGAACTCCCTGTACAACAGGTGATTTCCACTGAATTTTCCTTTGGTCCCCCAGGGTGCTCGCAAAGGCACGTGGTTTGCGAGCACAGAAGCGAGAGCAGGCAGAAAAACTGCTGGGTCTGTGCAGCTGGCAGCATGGGCTGGGGGCTGCGGGGGGCTGTGGGGGCTGTGGGGGGCTGTGGGGGGCTGCTGGGGGCTATAGGGGCTGCTCCCTCCCAGGGAGTCACCGCGGCGCATGTGACTTGCTGATGGTGCAAGAGCCGCGGTGGATGCGTGAGCCATGATGGCTCATGCATGATGCATCCCGAGGCACGCGTGGAAGGCAGCGAGAAAGGGAAGCGAGGCGAGGCGAGGGGTTATTTTTATCCACGCCTTCGCTCTAAGTTTTCCTCGCAGAGGCAGAGGCTGAGCTCAGAGAGGGGCCGAGGCGCCCGGGGTCCCCCTGCAGCGCTCCCGGAGCAGAGCAGAGCTCGGGGCTGGCTCTGAAAGTGCTGCAAAACTCAGGCCCGGCTGTAAACATTGTGGCTGAGGCTTGTCGTTAAAGGAAATACCTTGCTCAGAGCCATTGATTGTGCCACTGACCAGCGCATGGTTTCTGTAACCGTTTCCTGTATTGACTTCACCTTTAGCTGTGCTTTAAGCAGGTGCCGCGCAGATAAGGTGCAGGGGCAGCTGGACAAAGGTCTCCTCTCCTCCTGCAGGTCCCAACAGCTTTAACTCTTGGCACACCGAGCTGTGCCGAGCACCAGCGGACACCTGCCCGTCAGCACAGCCGTGGGCAGCGGGGGAGCCTCTGTGTCCCCCAGCACCACGAGGGACTGCCCCGTGTCCCCAGATGTTGGCCCAGGCAGGGCTCCGTCAGGAGGACCTGGTGCCATTTGCTCTTGGGATCCCAGAGGACCCAACGTCTTCTCGGTGGGTTTTGGGGAGGGCAGACGAGGGAGGTGGACACGGGTCCTCCCCAGCCCCGCACGGCTGATGCTCGGGGGATGTTCCCCAGCAAAGACTGATCGTGCTGGTAGGGAGCACCCGGGCTGTCCCTGGAGAGCAGGGTGGCTGCACAGCCCCCAGTGAACAGCTCAGTCACTTGGGTGCCTCTTGTTTCTTCCCCTTCCCTCACTCTCTCCACGCTCTGCTGGCAGCTGCAGATGACCTGTCCTCTCCTTGCCCACACGCGCCCTTTGAACGCAGCAATCCCCGGCCCGTGCCTCATCGTTTCCTAGCTGCAAGCCCTTCCTCCTCGTCACAGGGCACACAAACCACGCTTTTCCCTCAGAATTGCTGACCGTGGGTGAAGCAAGCAGGAAAGGGCTGCGGCTGGGGCTGCAGGAGCCCCCGAGCAGCCGGGGAAGCTGCTGGGGCGTTCGCCACCGCCTCTGCTCCGGGGCCTGCTGCGCTCCAGGGAGCGGTGGTGAGAGCAGGAGCTGGGGAAAATCCCTTTTTAATGGGAAACCAAACAAAAGATGGAGCCACTGAGTCTGGGCTGGGCCCCCCAATCGGTTTTGCCCCTCCTGCCCGAAAGCAGAAGTGGAGGGGGCATTGGCTGGGGCCACAAACCCATCGCCAGCAGCACGGGGGGCTCGGATCATCCAAAGGGGGAGCGTCCCCCATCCTGGGCTGGTGGGCACGTGGCGAGGGGAGCACGGGGGGATCTGGGGTAAGGCTGCTGCAGGTCCTGCTGCTAGGGAAAAGGTGAAGCAGCACAATGAGACTGAAAACGGGGATTAGGAGGTGGGAGAGAGCTGCTCTAGGGGAACATTGGGCTTTTATCCACCAGCGGTGAGAAGTGCCCACAGGCTGGCTCAGCTGCTTCTTCCAGCTCCTCCTCGCTCCTCTCCGTGCCTACCCCACGGGGGAAAAGCAGAGTTTCTGGCCAGACAGGTCCCAGAATTACACCTGGGGAGGAGGAGGAAGACTTGTCCTGCTGAGCACAGCGATCTTCTCGTAGATCCCATAAGGGCCATCTGCAGCACCCGCAGCTAGAGGGGACAGCGGGTTAGGGGCTGTCCCCTGACGGAGACCCTGCGAGGCTGCGCGTGGGAAGCTCCTGCCCTGCTGAGCGTGAATCACTGCAGAGCCCCGACCAGGAGACACCTCCCGAATTTGCCCCGACCACATGAGACAGCCAGCAAACAGAGCCAAAACATGAGGTCAGGCGGCAGAAATGCAGGAGCCGGTGGCTGCTGCTCGTGGTGAGGGAGCCAGGAGGGTTCATGCAGCAGGGTGGAGGAGCCCTGAATCCTGTTGCACACTTGGCAAATGCTCGGGACCTGCCCTTGCACGCCTGCATCCCTCCCGGCAGCCGAGCAGGGCACAGTGGGGTTTCTCGTGGTGTCCCCGTAGGACACGTCCCATACTGCCACCAGCATGGTGCTCGTGGGGAGATGTCACAGTGCTCGCAGAGATGTTTGGATGCTCCCTCGGTGGCAGCTCTGACTGAGCAAGGAGCCCCAAAATCTTGTCCATAACTTGCACACATGCCCTGGTCCAAGAGCTGACACTAGATTGGGTCCCTGCTGCTGTCCCCATTTTTTGGGGTGTGCGTGGGGTGGCAGCAGCACCCATGGGTGCTGGCTGAGAGCCCCCAAGCACCCGGCAGGCTGCAGGGGCGCAGCACAGTGAGCGGGGACTGCGACCCCTCCTGCTCCAAACCCTGCCCCTCTCCCCCCCCCACCCACCCCAGCCCCTCCGCACAGCCCAGCTCCTGCTCTCAGCGGTGTCCGAGCAAAGTCTAGGCTAGCTCCTGTGTCGGGGGCGATGCTGCAGGGAGCTGCTCACCCAGCAGAAGGACCAAGAGCTGGCTCCAGCAGCCAACACCGTGCCCGCCCCGCAGCTCCCGGGCGGCTCCCGGCCCCTTGGTGCTGATGTCACGGCGCGGGGGCCCGTAGCCGCCTTCCAGCAGGCAGGAGGAACCAGCTGCGGGGCTGCCGCCGCTTCCTGGATCCTCTCCTTTCGCCTCTTCACAGCCTGGGTGGCGGGGAGCAGAGCCCAGCACCTTGGCCACCCGAGCGGGAGATGCCCCGGCAGGTGGGTGCAGCGGTCCCGACGCCCCCCCAGGAGCGATGCGTTGGGCTGAGAGCCAGGATGGGAGAGCCCAGCCCTTGGGAAGGCTGGCTAAAAACGGGAGGGTTGTGCGTGCCGGGGATCAGCGAGGAACGAGGTTGGGGTGCTGGAAGGTGGGTGGGAGAGCGGGGGTCCGGCTGGGTGATGTTTCCCCCCCCCGGGGGGGGCAATGTGCCGCCCACACCCCATGCGTGCGGAGCAGCGCGGAGCCCGACAGCGCATCGGGGAAAAATGCAGGGATTTGGCTGCTGGTGGGTGAGCGGCTCCAGCTGCTTCCCGGCAGGGCAGGGCCTGGTGCCAGCTGTGCAGATGGGGCTGTGGGGGGCTGCAGTGGGCATTGTCCCCCCCGGGAGAGGGGTGCTGGGGGGCTATGGGGGGGCGCAGGAGCTGGTGTGCATAGAGCCGTGCTCCCCGCCCGGGTGCAAACATGTAGAAATCAAAAGCAAAGCCCCAGTGCCTGGCTCAGGCCCTTCCTGTGGATGCTGAGGGAGCAGCAAAGGGCACAAAGCCCTGGCGTGGGCTTTGCCTTGGGCAGCGTTTGTTAGCCAGGACCCTCGCTGTGGACCCTTATCCCCCCCCACCAGGCTCCTGAGCAGCCAGACCCCCGGGGCAGGCAGGGGGTCTCTTGGGGTGCTCCTGAAATGCTTGAGGGCACCCACCCAAGGATTTATGGCCACGGTTTCCCTTTATAATTCTCCCCAGGACTGCTTCCCCCCCAGTTTGTCAGGTTTCTGGGGAGGGGCTGCCCTTCAGAGGGAGGCAGCAGAGCCGGGGAAGTTTCCCAGGGCAGCTTCCCATGGAAATGAGCTCGTGCCGTGCCGCAGCGTGTCCGGGCGTGCTGCAGCTCCCGGGGAGCCGGTCCCTGGCTGGCGATGTGGGCCAGGCTGGCACCGGGGGGCAGATCTGTGCCCAGCACCGCCGGGGCCATGAGCACAGCCCCCTGACGTGGTTTGGGTCGCACAGGGAGGTGCTGGGGGGTGCAGGGACCAGGGGCTGCTCCCAAACCTCGCTGGGGCTCGCCGGGCTCCCATCCCCGCAGCCCCTCGGGGCTGCTCCACGGTGACCCCTCTCGTCCCGCAGGGCCCGACCATGGATGCCAGCAAGAAGGTGGATCTGAAGATAATTATCATAGGAGCTCTGGGGTAAGGAGCTGGCCCCTGGGGCTGCTGAGTCCCTCTGTGCTTTTAAATGATGTAAAATCCTCCTGAACTCCACGTGCCCGGCCCCACACTGCCCAGTGGCCAGCGGGACCTGCAGGATCCTAGCCCTAACCCTCAGCCCTTGGGCTGCAGGGAGCTGAAAGCCTCAGGAAGGGACAGAGAGAAGCAGAGGGGGCTCAACATATGTCGACCCCCCCTACTCACCCTGCATCTGGCAGTGCCCAGGGTCCCATCCCTTTGTGGCAGGTGCTGGGAGGAAGCCCCCTGCATGCCCCAGCCCGGGATCCCCTGGGTGCACAGCCCCCATGCTGGTAGCCACCAACTCCTCGAGCCCGGCTTCAGCATGCAAAACCTTCACCCGTGTCCCTTCCATCCCCCCAGCGTGGGCAAAACCTCCCTGCTGCACCAGTACGTGCACAAGACCTTCTATGAGGACTACCGCACCACGCTGGGCGCCAGCATCCTGACCAAGGTGATCGCGGTGGACAACACCCCCCTGAAAATGCAGGTGAGGTGCCCTGCCGCCCTGATAGCCCTGCCTGTACCTCCCGGGGTCCCCCGATGCCCTCTGGTGTACCCATGCCCTTCTCTGCCTCAGATTTGGGACACGGGGGGACAGGAGCGATTCCGGTCCATGGTGTCGACCTTCTACAAGGGCTCTGATGGCTGCGTCCTGGCCTTCGACGTGACGGACAGGGAGTCCTTTGAGTCCCTGGACAACTGGAGAGCTGACTTCCTGGAGAAGGTGATCCCGAGGGAC